TGAAAATGTTGCAGGCTCGGTTTGATTGAGCCTGTTCATGGACGGTACTGGAAAGTGCAAGTTACCATCCACGCTCCCTAGCACCGGCTTAAGCAGAATTCAACATTTAAACGTGAAATAGTAAATTTTGAATTTAGAAACATCCGCAGATGTGTTCATACGGCGGTTATCATGACACCTTCAATGTGACACTTCCGTGCCATCCATGAAAAGCAGCGTATGGTCCCCAAGTAATAAAAAGCGTGTGCCCTAAACGAGAAAACAATGTGCGGAACTAAATAAAATGGAATTTTGAAAGGGGATCAGAGGTTATGAAGCCTGCGTATCACAGATAAGACGTCAAAAGACAAATTTAAAAAGCAGGCAACATATCCTAAGGGTGATTCAACATTATTCAAGTAGGAATATTGGAACCACCCAACTAGAAAATGCCGAAAAGTTGAAACTAAAAATACCACAAGCACAACAATAATGTCGTGCTGAACGATCTTCAAGGATCGAAAATATAACATCATTGATTAAATGTACGGGGAGACTTTTTACAGTCGCCACTCGGCACAAATAACACGGATGTGATCATAAAATAGATAAATAGAGAATCCCTAAAGAAAGCCCAACACGGCAAAATTAAAGTTACTTTTACTTCACATTTGTCTTGCAAGTATCATGATTTTGTTTGTTTCGTTTAATTTGAAAGAATGTTAGGGTTAAAGGAACAACAACTATATAATCAGTTTTAAGTTTATTTCACCAGTCACGACAATAACCCTGCTGTGGAAGCTTGACTGTGTCGGGGGCTGCGTCCTGTGAACGTTGCCGTCGCCTTGTTTGTCTTTATTCCAGTTTTCCTTTTTTTACTCTTATAACGCTCTCCATTTCTTTTCCACCGGGAAGCTTCAATATATTGGTAACATTAAAGCACAGCTCAATTGACCCATCACTAGTACGGAGGCCTTCCAATAACAAAGAAATTTATCAGGATATCTGCTAAATCAATAATGATAATAATAATAATATTAATAATAGAGCCATATTGTAACTCATCCGACCTTCTTGATAATGTTTACCATGTGCATGAAACAGGTATCAATTACCTATAGTTTTGAATGTCTATATCAAAACGTAGTAATCTTCTCATCAACAAAGTTTACATCCAATCCGGATAAATATGCAAGTATGTATGTAAAATGATAAATATTGAAATTCAGATCTATCTAGTAAAGGAGATCGATTTTTTCTTATAGAATTTTAATAATATGCACTAGACATACATAAGAAATATTAACTAATAAAGTTGAAGCCTAAATTTCCTATAATGAGGCCGGATTCATTCTCTATTTAGCCAGTGCTTTCAGTGCTTTGATCAGAGTTAAAGAGAAATCTCTGGAATAACATTCTGAGTGTGCCTGTGATTTTTTATGCTTACAATACTCAAGTTCATGTTCGTTGTATAAAAGGTATTACGAAGTTTTTTTTCCAGAACGAGTGTCAGATAAACCAAAGTGACCTCTTAAAAAAAAAAGGACCCATTACACTGATTGACAAAGTAAATTTTCTTAGCCTAGATATCATGATATTTTAACCATTACAAAGTTTATACATAATATCTAAGAATTACACGAAAGCTCTCAAATTAACATAGAATATTTGTAAAATTTGTGTATGTCAGTTTCCAACTCCGTACGTTTAGCTAAATTAATCATTGTAATGGAGAGAAAAAAACATGATTACAACAATGTAATGCTTTAAATATATTGAAACTGCTTTTGAAAGATTTTTCTCACAAGAACATATGTGAACAACAAGAAATTTAACAAAGAAACCCATAATTTGCTTCTAAATTTATGGATTGTTGGTATATTCCACTTTCGCACTTTCGTTGCTGCCGATACACAAGAAATTCTCCGTTTCGCTTTTTAGTCATCCCGAGAATCATCACGTGACCATTGTTTTTATTAACATAACATATATTTTATTAGTCTTAAGCACATTAACAGCTCATCGACATTTACATACAATATGACACGTATTTGTAGCATGCGTAATAATTATAATCATATTTACAGAAATAGAAAAACACATACATTAACACAAAACACAAAACACAACGGGCTACACACAATAATAAACAGCGAGAATTGACATTTTTTTTACAAAAACAGAAAGCTTGGTAAATACGTCATCTTTTATGACACTATTATGTTGAAAAGTACACATTCACTGTTCGAACACTAATTGGTCTCTCTAAAAAATGATTGTCTGATTCTAAAAGCCTTAAGAATATATAATGCTAGCTTGATAAGTACATTTTTATTGGTCGAATTTAAAAGTTCAATAAACTTGTAAACACTTGCATGATTACAATAATAGTCACTTATATACTTCTTTCTGATGTCTCTATATAATTTACATGTTAAAAAACGAAGTGGAATTCGTCTTCAATGTCATTCATGTCACATAGCATACACTTTCGCTGGTCTCTCGGCACTGCATTTTCAAAGTGTCTTGCCTTTTCTATCATTAAATCATGCGAACCCATACGTATCTTTGCAATTGCTCGTCTGTATTTCAAGTTATTCAATATTATGAGATATGAGGGAATTTCAAAAGTTTGTTTGATTTCCTTGTATAAATATAACGAAGGACACGTGTTAATATCTATATACCATTCTGCTATGTAAAAGTCTCTTAGTCTCTGTTTCAGAATAGGCGTAAATATTTCTATACAAAAAAAAAATATATGTTATGTTATTGTTTTTATTCAGATTTGCAAACCGAAAGGTGTTTAAACACTTTTCCCACAAAATTGGAGAAAATATGTATTTCAAACGATTTGCCAATCCAAAGAACACATATCAATGTATCACTGATTCTGTTTGAATGTCCCTAACACGCAGGTAACAAAAAATTATCGGTTTGTGAAATTTTACTTTTTTTGTGACATTCGGCCGTACCTCAGTGGAGTACCTTTAAGACATAGTGCATGCTCAGTGGTCATTCCTTTAATAGTTGGACATTACGCTTTCCACTTTTGATAACATTTGACAGACTAATTTGGAGACTCTATGGTTGACTGAATCGTCTTAATTTTCGTTTTCTGTCTTGCTTTGTTGGGCTCATGTAGGGGATATTCTAGCTGCTTTGTCTTCCCTTAAGATTTCGAGTATTTTTGTTATGGTAATTTGGCTTACTTTTTATATGTATCTATTGTTTGATTTTATTAACCTGTCAATTCCATACTCATTATACGGTCAATGCACAGAATATATTAATATTCGATAAATGTTCGGTAAATTCCGTGAGATGTATGCAGTAAGATGTGATTAAATTCATCTAGTTGCTATGAATTAGTTACACTGACCGTTATAGCGCAATAGGGTAAACCACGGGTATATAATATCAAAATGTCCTAAGATCGTTGTTGTAAGATCGAGACAGTGTATGTCAAGGGTTTTTTCTTATACATAACTATTTTCAATTTTTTGGAATTTATGGTTTTTCTGTTTTTAATATGTTTTGCACTATTTTGTAAATACTATATTTTTGTATATAACATTGTTTAAGAATTGATACTGAAAATTCATTGGGATTATAATCAATAAATGTATTTTCAGTGCCGTAAAATACAATACAAAATGTGACAATTCAGTGTTTCTTAGTTGTTTCATATCCGTGTAGACAATTTTGCAAGCGCTTGACCATTTTCTTTAAAATATACCTAAAAATAAAGACAGAATAAGTCTAAAAAGGATGTCAAAAGAAGGGATCGAACCTCGGACCTCTCATACATTAGGTAATCACTTAACCGACTGTGCTATTGCGGAAGTTACGAGAACTAACATTAAGCTAGTGGGAGTTTTCCAAACGTTAGTGATATACTCCATATTAATTCTCGTAAAATAAACGGACAAAACCGAAGTGGGATCGAATATTTAAATGAGTGCTATAATGTATTCATTATTGACAGGTCAATAAAATCAGACTATACATGTCATTTAGCATTGTGTTAATTTGTTTCTCCTTTTGTAACTATAACAACTGTTAAAATTTCACCTGACGGGGAAATAAGTTTATTTACACTGTCTCGTTCAAAAGGAAGAAAGAGTTTGGTGCACTATTTAACGATTTAAACCCTCCGGCAATGCTTATGTTGCTGAACGTTCAAAGGTGTTGCCTCCTTTGTTCCTCTGATGTATGTCTTGTTAATTGTATTATACAATGTTACATATTGTTGGATGAAACTACAAGGCCAAGAACTGAGATAATTTGTATGTGCATTCGCCTATGGAACCTCTACGAAAGTTATGAAAGTCATGACCCTGGTGGGGGATGGTCCCACTTTTTAGTAAACATAGACTTGTATAGTAAAATATCTTAAAGGTCTCCTTATCTGAAAGTGAAATGATCAGAACTATAAGATTTTGCATGAAATGTCGTCTTATGGTGTCCTGTACAAATTTATATACATTATGTCCTCTGGTTAAAATGGATCAACCGTGGGGGTGGACTTAGCTTATAAAGACTTGATATGAAAAACATTTAAATATTTTTGTTTTTACAATACAAAGATACTACATATTTCAAGTATATTATTGCCAATTGAAAATATAAAAACATTTATGTCCGGTCCCTGAAGGTCAAAAAAGGTCCCGCACTTTATTTTCGTGACTTATACAACTTATACATGTATAGTAGTAATTTAATAACCTGCTTTTCTGTGTGTTTCTCATTGCTCAAAGCTGAGATATTTTGCATGAACACATACATAATAAACCTATACTAAAGGGGCTTTACAGACATCCTGTATGGTAAACGATATTTGACGAACATGTTTTTAAATGATACATTGTACAAATATTGTTTGAGTAATGCTTGCTTTCCCCTGCATCCATCTGTTTTACAATTATCATAAAGTTTATAATTGTCTGTAAGCTTCCATAAACTTCAGCATATGTTTTAATTATTCAGATATTCAGAATAGAACTATATATATCTAAAATTAACAACTATGATGTAATATAACAGTACGAGTACATACGGTTAATATGAAACAATTTAATTATAACATACAATATGAAAGTAGCATCGACTTAATCAAAATTATATCAGAATTTACATAAGAAAATCACCCCTTATAATCCTGTTCACTTCAATGTTTATTCCTTTTGACTAAGATGTACAAGCCGCCATTAATGTATTTTCCGCTGTGGCCTTACAAACACATTTGTTTTACCGCTCCAATATCTTTGCGACATGAAGCAATTTGATTCATATGCTTCACATAGTAACATTTGTTGAAATCGATGGATGCTAGAACAAGAGCTATCACTTAAGCGCCACCTTACGTATTTGACAAAAGAAGTGATCTGAAGCCAGATTTGAACTCGAGCTATATTTTATGATATCTCGTCTGTGTACCGAAAATTATTACAATTAATTGCCTTGTAAAAGAGTATTATCATCTGCTAACTATTATTGTTTGTAAAAATAAAGAGGAAATGTAAGTATAGTAATTAGTCTTCTGAAGCCAATTTGAATAAAAGGAACTTAATTATGTCAAACTTCCTATCAGAGTTATTAAACATTACTGATAACAAAATGTAGTCATTTAGATAACTTACAATAAAGCTATAGCCACTTTAGACATTTTCTGAATGTTTCGTCGAATTTTAAATACGATTCAAATAATTATCAGTATTTAGTTTCAGGACCACTTATATGTGTTTGGATCGTAACAGACTATGTCTTAACTATTTGCATTGGAATTACATTTTGCCTTCATCACATTGTTGCATTTGTGATAATTTACAAAAAAGGTATATCATTTCTAGTTGAGTGATTTACTTCATGAAATGATAATATTTAAATTTAGATCTATATGATAAAGAATAGTTAGTAATATCAAATACAACATTTTTAGTATTATAAAAAAAATCGAGATAAACAAAAGGTTTAAAATTCTAGTGTAAATCTTGTAAATACATTCTGTATGTAGTTTAAACCATTTAGTGAACTCGGGTTATTTTATTTTCAGATTTATGTTTTAGATCAACATTCGCAAACACTGCTCTCATTTCTACACCAATCTATATTTGTCTGGCACTGTGTATCGCTAATTGGATACGATGTAGCTGTACTAATCGTAAAGATTTCCTTTATTTTATTTTTACGCGCATATACAAGGGCTGATTATTAAGTCCGTGGACATCCTGGCTGAAACAAAGATAGGATATATCATTTAAATAACCCATGAGTGAGGAAAATAAACATGATATTGTTTGAATTTATTAACCTGTCAATTCCTTACTGATATAATACGGTTAATGTCAAGAATATATTAATATTCGATTAATGTTCGTTAAATTCCGTGAAAGGTACGCAGTAAGATATGATTAAATTCATCTAGTTTCTATGAATTAGTCACACTGGCCGTTAAAGCGCAATAGGGTAAAGCACAGGTACATGTATATATTATCTAAATGTCCTACATGTTGTAAGATCGAGACAGAGTATGTCTAACTATTTTCAATTCTTTTGGTTGTTATGTATTTTATATGTTTTGCACTTTTTTGTAAATACTATACTTTCGTATTTAATATTGTTTAAGAAGTAATACTGAAAACTTATTTTGATTAAAATCAATAAATGTAATTTCAGTGCCGAAAAATACAATACAGAATGTGACAATTCAGTGTTTTTTAGTTGTTTTATATCCGTGTAGACAATTTTGCAAGCGCTTGACCATTTTCATTAAAATATACTTAAAATAAAGAAAGAATAAGTCTAAACGAATATTCAAATGAGTGCTATATTATGTTCATAATTGGCAGGTCAATAAAATCAGACTATAATATTAATGTAGCTGCAAAATTTCATTTCAAAATAATGATTTATGAAAATATTATAAACATTTATCAACAATCCTGTATCAGTGACAACGCAGGTACTGCGACGTCAACGTCATATTTTCTCAACATACGCTCCACGGGCTTTTAAACAACGTTCATATCCTATGTACACACTGATTGAAAAGGTCTCCATAAAACAATTTATCATATCCTCCCAATAAACAAACCAGCTGTTTTGAGTTCCTCAAAACACGTGAAACTAAGTTCTGACTGCAGTTTTTGGAATGGAGAGGTCATACGGGGCTATCTTCTGGGCCAGTATTCAAAATGCATCTTCTGATTTTTCTTTTAAAAAAATCCGCTGAATTTAAGAAATTTTTATATCTATTATAACAAAATAATAATCCGTTTTTGCGAAATGATAATTCGTTTTTAATCTATAAGGTATATTTAAGGACAAGATCATCTTAAGATGTATAATGAATACGGGGCCTGGTCTAGTAAACGTTTTCGAGATCTGTATTAAGGTCTGGTTGCTTTTGCCGTGATGTTGTCATGAGATTTCTTTGAAAAACTTAAAATTGAAGAAATAAAATTGATATTAACAATGAAATAATTTCGTCCTATCATTATGATAACTGTTATTTCTTATAACAATAATAAGTATAAATACTGTAAGCATTATTATTATTGATATTATTATTACTGTCATAATTATGTGATAGAACGCTGACATAGAGGATATGTGTTTGTTTTGCATGTAAAAATAAGAGGATACTTTTCGTTTGAGTGAAATTTGGAATATATTTTCACTCAACATGATAAAATGCAACATATTTTCACAAGTCGGGACGGCGAGTGAAAATATGTGGAATTTTATCATGTTGAGTGAAAATATATACCATATTTCACGTAAAACGAAAAAATGATATTTTTATTTAATTTCATTATCAAAAAAAAATGTTACGACTTCCCTTGCTTGCTACGCAATTGTACAGCGCGCAGTAATATATGTATCATTTATATATGCGTCTTGTTTTGCACTCAATGTTTGGCGCTACATTGTGACGTCACGTAAACAACACTTTAAACGTATGTACAGCGTTAAATTAATGACTGAACAGAATTCATTGACAAATAAATCACAAAACAGTTATCTGTCTTGATGTTTTATCAAATTTATCCACGGACCTAATGATCAGCCCTCGTACTTGCACTGTTATAATAAAAGTAACAAAAATGTAATAGTTTGAATAATTTGAAATGTTTTAATAATTCAGATAAATCAAAAGCAAAAACCTTCATTCATACAATTAAATTCATTTATCATACTTCTTGCTATCGACCAAGTTTAAATCAAAAATATGTTACTATGTTAAATTTTAAGGCATGAAAATGCTTAATTTTAAAGTGGATTTGTCTACAATGCTCCATAAGTATTTTTAACAATAATAAAAATCAAAACAAATATAACATTTGGATATTCTAATAATATATTGCATGAAAAAAAATGTTGATAAAATTTATGTGATTTATTATGAACATTTATATAGAATAATAATATCTTGTTCTATTATTTGCTATTTAAATATTATGTTAAATTTAATATATCTCAAACTTGTCAACGACATCTATTTATAATTATTTCAAGGTTTAATGTTATCTTCGATACTTAATACTATCAACTTATCTTTGATACTTAATACTATCAACTTAATATTTTTCGTATAACAGACCTTCTGTTATAGACCATTTACTTTCACGCATATTATACGCTGAGCTGTTCAAAATAAATTCATATAAATGCATACTTGATAATAGATTTAAAAATATTTTAACATGACATTTAAGAGATATGTATATACTATCCTTACCGTAGTTTTGTATATAGCTATATGTTTCTTCTTTAAACTATCTTAAACATAAGAGCTGTTTATTTCTATGTTTTGTGCATTAGTCATTTAGATTTATACGTATGCATATTTCATAAGCAACACAGCAGTTAAAATTGTTATTCCTAATAAGTTCATTCTTACTTTTTCAGCCTGTTCATCATGTGAGTACATGTGTGTTTTGCGGTATATTTGGATAGCTGTTGTCTTGGTAAACTGGGGTTTAGGATTTTACCGGTTGCACAAGATTCGGAAACTTTGCGACAAAAAAGGTATCATATTTATTTTATTTAAGTTTTCAAACATAATTTTTTTTAAAACTGAATCTTAAAATCATTTCTGCTATAAATGAAAATGAAGTAGGTTTAATTAACCTCCATTATGTAACAGCTTTTATTTTAGATTTTACAGGTGTTAACGAAGAAAGGGGTGTGATCTATTTGGTCGAAGATACAGAGTTTCTTATCAGCCTTTTTTGTTTCATCATTCTGACCTATGTCTTGCTGTTAATTGTCTGGATTTTTTACAAGATTGGTAAGACAACTTTATATTTTTGTTTAAAACGGAACAATTGTTTGACGCAAGAGCCAGATTTATGCTCAAATCTGGTCCAAGTTCATATGATTATCATTTAAATTTATTCAAAAATAGCATACTTTTTTCTTTTAATTCCCTTTACTGAATAGAAGAGTTTCACTTACAATGTAAAATAGATTATAAAGCAAAGAGTAAGGATAAACTGTATTTCATGAGTAAAAAAATGCAACTTTCAAGTTGTGTCGCACGTATCTCAAAAAGTATTTGACCTAGAGTCATGAATCTCTTCAGGAATGTTGATCAGCATGTGAAGTTGTGAAGTTGTGCACCTGTTTCTCTTGTGGATTTATTCTGTTTTGTCAGAGTTATTGCCCTTGACATAGTAAAACTTTGCAATCACACATAGCTCAATAGCGTCATGAAACTTTAAGGGAATGTTGATCAGCTGGTGAAGTAGTTGTGCATTTCGGGTTTCTCTTGTAATTGTATATGTTTTGTCAGAGTTATTGCTCTTGACTTAGTGAAAATTTTCAAGTTTCAATTTGTATCATGCGTAGCTCAAAAGATATTTAACGTAGAATCATGAAACTAAAGAGGAATTTTGTTTTGATAATCATAAGTAGTTGGCACATTTTCGCTTGTGGATTTATCCAGTATTTGTAGCTTTATTTCCCTTGACTTAGTAATAACAGTTTCATTATGTTGTGTTTTAATTTTTTTTATTTCTTCTTTTGTTCCTTGAGTTAGAAACAAACAACTTTACAGGAATAATGATCAACATCACTGTGAAACTATGCACCTGGGATTTTGCATGTTGATTTTTGTCAGTTTTTATAGAGTTATTGCCCTTGACTAAGTATAAATTTGCAATTTACAACATGAACATGCATAGCTCAAATAATATTTGATCTATAGGCCTGAAAGTTTAAAAGAATGTTTATCAGCATGTTTACTTATGTACCTTTGGTTCGCTCTTGTGGATTTAGTCAGTATTTGTAAATTTCTTGCCCTTTACTTAATAAAAGATTTTTAGTTTTCAACTTGTAGCCGAAACAATATTTGACCTAAAGTCATAAGATTGACAAAACGGTTGAGCACGGGGTACCCGTGTCATATGGACACATTTCTAGTTTAAAAACTTAAATATAACTCTCTTGAAGATCTATTTCTTTAGCGGTAAATAGGTCGGAGGGATGTCATGTCTTGCACCGAACGTCACAGATACTATAGAGCATTCCTTTACTGTACTTTTCACGCAATGTTGGTCTTGTTGACGATTATTATTCTGCCAAAAAAAAATAATGTGTTGGCGTTTGAAACAAATACATGTATATCGAATATACGAGGGTTGCCCGAAAAGTTATATAATTTTACTATATCTGTAAAAATAGTAATTCAAAAGTGTTTTAACTCGGCGTGTGAATACACATGTACCTGCTTTTGCCTCAATAATATGCTTCAAAAAGTGTTTAAAACCACAATTTTATTTTTGATGTCATGAATGAAAGAATGAAAAGGTGTATTTTATCAATAATTTCAACAACTTTGAAGAATATGTAAAATCTTTGTAGGGACTTTGCTGATGGCCAGTAGTTGATTGTTAGATTATAAGCATATAAAATGAACTATCAAAATAATTTCATAGTATAATATGGATCATGCATGTTGATAGATAACAGCATACAATTCCAATTACATAATGGAGCACGTTATCATTTTAACATATCTGGAAATAAGTGATTCCCTCGGAAGCATAAAAACCAGCAAAATTACATGAAAATTGCAGACATGGTTTGATTGAGTCTGTGCATGAGGGATAATGTAATGGATTCAACGATCCCGAAGGACCGAAAAAAAAACAACACTAAAGTGAAAAACGGGGCAACTTTTACGGCTGCCACTCAGCACTTGCACCTGCTATTATAATGTATAATTATCTGGAAAAAAATAATGCCTCGAATGAACAGATAAATTTTATAAAATAAATTTCACGATTTTTCTTCCGAGTTTTATCCTCTGCAAATGTTGTTCAAGAAAATATATCCCTCGAAAGTATTTGATTTATAACAAAGTATCATAACTTAAGTATAAACTACAACATAAATAAATCGGAAACATGATGAAATGTTTAATTTTTCTATTCCGGATAAACATTCATTTTTTTCATTTCAAATGTTTGGGGTTTTTTTGTTTTTGTTTTGTTTCAAACTATTTTTTATAATTAAAGTGTAAAAGCTGTATTTTAGTTATACTTGTTAAAGAATGAATTTACATGTGCATTATTCAATATACATCAAAAATGGAAATAAGCGATAATCATAACTTGCAAATACTTCGCTACTGGTGTTATAAATGTGCGTATGCTTGACCTTAAGTCCAATCTCTTGGCTGCCTGTATAAAATTATATTTCTTGAGAAGACCCGGGACAATCCGTTCTATTTAGTGACAGTGTTGTTATATAAGTAAATCGGGAGTTGCAACAAATATTCAGCATTCCACATATTTGCCTAGCAATGGCACAATTCTTCAGTAAGCAATTAGTCCATGGTCAGAATACCGAATGTACGAGGTATGTTTAATAAGCCTGCGGCTCTACTTTTCGTCTTTTAATATTTGTATACGATTTTACAAGAAACAAATATCGGAACATGTCATCTTTACACATTGTAAGCATCAATAAAATATATTTATACGTAACAATTCTAAATACTCTAAATACCGAAGCATAAATTATTAAGCGTTTCAGTCACAAATTTACAAAATTTCTTGACTAATATTTCTTCCTTGCTGAGGATTTTTGAACAAGCTGTTTGGTCATATTCTTGTTTAATATCATTCACGTGCTTAAACATCAATTCAATTATTTGGTAATCAAAATGTTTATACACTTTATTAATAGTTAAAAGTCGAAGACCAACTTACGCATGTACAAAGATCGACAAAGAAGCAAACACCCCCAAAATAAATCGACCTTTACCACCGTTTTATAAAAAGGCTGCCCCGTCATCTTCAAGGGACCAAATGTCAATTAGTTACCACGTTTACAATTTGGACCAAAAGTAAAATTGTTTTTATTTATTATTTTATTTGAAAGCGTTGTTTAGTTTTTTTCAAGAGAACTTATAAAACGAATTGAAACGTACTAATAAATGTCAATAAACGCTCACGTTTAAATGTATTACTTTTTCTTTAAGTGATATACTTTGATCATGAATATGTTATTTATTCATAAGTTTATAGAATATTATGCAATGCTGTTTCCGTAAATGAAAAACTGTGTTTTGCAAAAAGGTAACGTTTTTGATATTTAAGTCGACAAAGAGGAGAAACGCAGAAGACAGAGGGGCAGCCCGGTAAAGGACGTAATAATATGGAAGGTTCTGAGAAACTTAAATCACCCAAGAAATCAGAAGGAAAAGCAAACAGGTATATTGAGGAAATACAAATAGTGTTTTCTTACTATATGTTCAATTTTGCAACATGTTTATTGTTAAACTGTTTGGAGTTGGTCTAAAGTGAAATACGTTTAGCTTTAATTCATTACTTTCATGTGACTTAACTATAATTGACAAATCAATACTTTGCGTTTAATTCTTCAGCCATGTTAAAAATTCTTGCATTGGTGTCCTTTTAAGATCACCTGTTATAATTATTCAAAAGGAAGGACTATCCTAATCATCAGCGCTTTGGCGTCTGCCTCATACTTTATGTTTTTCGGACCACCTTCCTTTTTTCTTCACCCTTAAAGCATTGTTTTGAGGTGAAATTAAAAACCGTAATATCTACGTCCTGGCAAGAGAACATGACTCAGTCATAATTTTTTACGAAATTAAATTAAAACCCTTCTTTGACTGAACAGTGTTATGTTAAGGTTTTTTGTTCCAACATTTTTGCTGTACTCTTTAAGGTTTAACTTCAAAGTACTAGTACTTTAAAGTGACAATAATTTACGCTTCCAGACAAGAAGATATAGCTCTGTCGTAGATTTTCACACACAAAAATACGTTTTTTATTTACTTCCATTTCTTGTTAAGTCTTCTTATTACCTCATTTATTTCCTATAACCGTTGAGGTATTGCTTTGAAACCTTGAAATATTTTTTAGTGACCATCATCCCAACTTACAGGCAAGAGTACATAACTTTTATCATTTATATAGACAAAAAAGGCCCATTTCACAAATTAGACGTTTGATTTAGTTCTTCTACTACACAACTTTTTTCAATAAGTCAGGAAACAGCTTTTTATGCTACCGAAAACAAATCAGAGAGCATTTAGTCCGTGCTTAATCCTTTTGTAGTTCCATCGCGCTTCTCTTACAAATTCTCCTTATTACTTGACTTATTGACCGATGATAATCTTTCAAATATTTTAGGTAATTTGTGATAAAGGTCAAGGTCACTAGAAATAGATTATTACACTTCATATATACATCCTTTATGTATAGATTGATGTCTTTCATAATTGGTAGGAATATACCTTGGGAAGTCGTCTTCTTCTTTGGCATGGAGTTTTGGGTCTCTGGCGTCAAGGTCGCCAGTGTTACTAGTCACCAGTAGATGGTTAAACTTAGTCGTTAACATAAAAAAAATTATCAATTTACTAATGCCTTTCATATTTACAAGGCAGATACGTTTGTTGGTGAAGAGCTTAAGTTCACTTGGGTCAATGTGACCAGCACTAAAAAAATATTTCTATATTTTGGTATTTATCTGTTGGCGGATTTCTTAGCAATAATATGTAGTCCTCTTCTTTTGGGTGGATATTGAGAGCACCGGGGTCATCGTCACCAGTACTGCGAAAAGGATGTCTATACTTTTGTTCATACTGTCTTAAATTATTCACTGACGTGTTTCATATTTGATAGTAAATTCCTTAAGTGGTATTCTAAGTTTTGGAAAAGATCAAGGTCACATTGCTTTAGGTCCAGGAATATATTTCGCCATATATATATTGTACAGTTTCAAGAACCTTTTTAACAGTATTGTTGTAAATCTAATCAAACATTGTTCAGAAATGATAACTTTAAAAGAAACCCCCAACATCACACTAAATTTCGTTAACGAATTTTAACTCCGACAATCGAAACGCTCTTTAAAACAATAGCTGTTAGTTTTCTCATCTAATACGGGTGTGTGAACAAACTGTTTCCGTAATTCCTACATGGTGTAATCTTGAGAATGATGAAATATAAATTTCGGTTATAAGTAAGATACTTCCGTAAATAATAAGTTTTCTTGCTCAGCAATACTTATTAAATATGTGCTTTCAAAATATGTCAAAATATTGCATGGTCATTATAATTGTGTTTGTTATTTTTCATCACAAAATCAAGTTACTAACACTTTTTAAGCATTTCTTGATTCCAAATATGTAAATTTTATAGATACATGTATTTTATCAATAAATTATTTTAAAATATTTTTAACTTATTGTTAAAATATGCAAAGCTATTAGTAAGGATATATAAATATCTTAGGATAGAACTGAATTAATTCAAACTTATTATTTGATTTTACCCATGAAATATGGTGATATATCAGTCAAATGTATTTCATTTTTGTAAAAAATAAATATGAAATATAAATATCAAAAGTGAGCGGAGTCAAAAGTCATATTTATTTTAAGGGACCTCTTTCGCCATTTTGTTTAAAAAATCTGATAAATAAATAACAACTTTAGTTGAATTTGTTTTGAAAACTATCTAGAATGATAGATTATGGTCTAACTTAGAAAATAAATCCGAATACCAATATCTTTAATTCTATCACTCCACGTGATTTTGTCACTATATACAAAGAAGGAAAAAAACGGTGTTAAACTGCCAATAAACACTGGTTAGGGACTACTTGTATATGCGGCTTTTATGTTTTCACCCTCGATTTTATAGTTTACAAAGCCTTTTAAAGCAACAATAAAAGCATTTTTATTTATATTTCCAGTTCTAATAATGTTTTCTTTTCATACAAAACCGAAATAATATCTCACATACACTAACGCCACATATTTGATCCATATCAGTTAATAAATAGTTTGACAAATGTTATTTCATACATACAAGAATGATAAATGGAGCACTGATGTAAACACAATACGACATAAATTTTATTGTTGAAAACTTGATAAAATAACGTTTTTTCTTATTATTTATTTTGTTTAATAATTTCTATATCTTTGCCACAGTAGGGTGCGAAAATCGAACAGCGTTATACAAAAATCGCCACCGGAAGTTATTTCCGCTTGAAAAAATAACATAAGTGATCTTCCTTATTTTATCGTGATAGAATCGAAATAACATCGGCCTGATAGGTGTATATCGGCGGTTTTGTCGTTTTGATGCAAAAAAATAACACTCAGGCCTACGGCCTTTGTGGTCAATTCCTACGCATCAAAACTCTAAACCGGTGTTAAATAGTCGATATACACCTCTCAGACCGATGTTATTTCTTAATTCAATCATTAACGCTGTACAGACGTTTAAAGAGTTGTTTACGTGACGTTACATTGTAGCGCCAAACATCGCGAGCAAAACAAGACGCATCTATAAATAATCAATATATTACTGCGCGCTGTACAATTTGAGTTGCGTAGCAAGCAAGGGGATTCGTATCTTTGATAATGAAATTAAATAAAAAGGTTATTTTTTCGTTTTTCGTAAAATATGGTATTTTTTTCACTCAAGTGGCATTTTATCTTGTTTCGTGAAAATATATTCCAAATTTCACTCAAACGATAAAATATCCTCTTAATATTCACACGAAGCAAGTGATGTCAACTGAGGCATTATCTTACCAAAAATAAGACTTTTAAACTGAAAAAAGTGTCTAAAGTTTTTAGCAAAGCAAATAAAACATAACCTTGTTATGCTTGTGGGAGACGCTTGTTAATGTCAGTTGGCCGTATCATAATGTTAACATTGGACATTACAGATTGGTATTATATAAGGCGATAACGAGATGAATTATAGCAATTATTCGAATATTACAATCTTTTAGTGAACATTTTTGCTTACATTTAGAATAACAGCTGGCATTCCAGACAACAACTCAAATACGGTCATGTCTATTAATACAGGGAGCAAAAAAAAAGGCGGATCTAAAAAACTATTTAAAAAAGGAACTGGACAAAGTATTGCAATGAACAGGTAATGATCAAGTAAAACTTTTACATAAGTATAAAATTGCTTTGTTCTATCTTTATTTACTTCTATTTATGCAAGGTTATGATTCTCTTTAAGCAATTATTTGCCCCCTTCAAAAAATTTCTTTTTCATTATTTTTTTTTCTTTTTTTTAAAAAATGTGCATACAGATAGTAATCTAAAGAGCAATCGAGCTAAATCGATATTCTCTAATTAGGAGGAAGAATACATCTGCCTCAAGTAAAATCGTTACCAAAAGTCATTCTCAAAATACCAGGGTATTAATAAGATCAGTATTCATCGAGTTAAATAATAATTGCCATAAAATATTAAGCCTTCATTTAATGTCATTTACCTTTTTTGAAGTACTAAAATAATAAAATTGAAATGTAAACATTTGAAAAAGGGGTTAAATTTTAATATAGATATGTTTCTGTCTTATAAATAATTGTTTAATAACAATCATTGTGTGTGTGTGTGTGTGTGTGTGTGTGTGTGTGTGTGTGTGTGTGTGTGTGTGTGTGCGTACGTGCGTTGGTGGGTTGGTGTGTGTGTGTGTGTGTGTGCCCACGTGCGTGTGTGCGAGTGTACGTGCGTGCGTGTTGTGTTGTGTTCTATTGTTTCGCTGTAAATGGAAATTGATTATCGTAAAATGTTTTAAGAGAAATTCTATCACTCCACGTGATTTTGTCACTGTAGACAAAGAAGGAAAAAACCGGTGTTAAACTGCCAATAAACACTGGTTAGGGACTACTTGAATATGCGGCTTTTATGTTTTCACCCTCGATTATATAGTTTACAAAGCCTTTTAAAGCAACAATAAAAAGTATTTTTATTTATATTTTCAGTTCTTATAACGTTTTCTTTTCATACAATACCGAAATAATATCTCACATACACTAACGCCACATATTTGATCCATATCAGTTAATAAATATTTTGACAAAACGGCGCCAATCCGTAAGCAGCGTAATGACGTCATCGTAAGTAAACAACTCATTCATAAACAAGCTGACGTTATTTCATACATACAAGAATGATAAATGGGGCACTGATGTAAACACAATACGACGTAAGTTTTTATTGTTGAAAACTTGATAAAATAACGTTTTTTTCTCATTATTTATTTTGTTTAATAATTTCTATATCTTTGCAACAGTAGGGTGCGAAAATCGAACAGCGTTATACGAAAATTGGCACCGGAAGTTATTTCCGCTTGAAAAAGTAACATTAGTGATCTTCCTTACTTTATCGTGATAGAATCGAAATATCATCGGCCTGAGAGGTGTATATCGGCTATTTAACACCGGTTTTTTCGTTTTGATGCGAAAAAATTAACCAGTCAGGCCTACGGCCTTCGTGGTCAATTCCTACGCATCAAAACTCCAAACCGGTGTTAAATAGCCGATATACACCTCTCAGGCCGATGTTATTTCTTAAATAAAATCTTTGTAAAAGTCTTAGGGAAAAAATGATATATAGATTTCGCCTGAATATTTCTGTTTCATTTAAATGTTTTATAACAATCAGTAATACAGGGGTAAACACAAAAATTGAAGATCTTTTACAAAATGAAGACGGTAGAAAGGGTGAAGATACGAAGACTACTAATAAGGACAACTTAAAACATTCTGGTGGACAAAACGGTGCAAAGAATGGGTAATAATTATGTTTACCATATTATTATTATTTATGATTGTATCCCAGCAAAATAATGTTGTACGCAGAGTAATATGTGGTCAGTTTGTCTAGCGTGTTTCACTTTCCTCAAATAAACATTTCCAAACAAAGTCAACACCTAAACTACAAAGTCAAAACAATGCCTTGTAATGCTTGTCACTTGCTTTGCTATGCTCCCCAGATGAAGAGGCTATAGTTGCCGCTAGTTCCGACCGTCACACTGTCGACAATTGAATTATTTTTCTTTATGAGACAAAATAATGCTTGTCCAGAAAATAACTTGAAATGTATTATCTTCTTATATGATACTTAAAATAACTTTTTTTTTCAAATAATGTTTGTCCAGGGAATATATTCTAAATTTTCAACGGTATTTTCTGAATGAATTGTGTATCTAAGATAAGAAAACCGCCATGAGGATCATTTAGCTGTATAAGAATAAAAGTAATTTTGGTTCCTTTTGGCAGTTATTACAAATTATAGATATATGACTTTGTTTTATCCTCTCTATTAAGTTATAAAACGTCTAACTGTATTTATAAGTAATGGAGTGAATGTTAAAGCATATGAGTGTGTTAATACACGAGTATTTGAGACAACAAATAAAAAATATATGAGATAACTATAAAGATTGTTAATATATTTCTTCAAATTTACAGTAAGACGGCTCGCGATCCTGGTAGTGAGACGGCTCACGATCTAAATAACAGAAATGATAATAATAGTGGAAATAAGCATAACTATGACGAAAAGGCTCAAAACAGTGATAAAAATCAAGGGTAAGTATTTTTGAATTGCTTTATAACATTATACTGCCACTGTTTTATACATTTTAAACATTTATACTCGTTAGAAAGTGTATAGAGTTCCGATTTAAGGTATGGTCCACCTAATGCATTACCTCCACTTTGAAGAGTATTCAAATAGGCTAGAACTACTGTCAACTGCATTGTAACTGAGGGGCGTGGGTTAAAGCCCCAGAAGCGGCAACTTTTTTTTCTTTCTTTTTTTTCTTTGAACATTATTTGTGTCTCTAATATAACAGTTGAGAAGAAAAAAGTGTTTCATTTTAATTATGAAATTATTATTGGAATTATAATAATTAAAATAATGACAAAAATATTAAAATGATCTATGTACTCATATTACGCTAAAATGACTTTTCTTGAAGTTTCAGCATGATTTTCTGTTTAAATTCTATATATTTTGGGTTTGAGCGTAAATATATCTACATATGTTGAACAAAATTTAGATGCCAATAGAATCACGAAATAGTCAGGTGACTTGAACAAACCCTTTACAATAACAAATATTGTTGATATTGTATGATTGAAACAAGCCTAAGTCATTCATTTGACATGTTCTTTAACTTTTCCAGAGTTTACTTTGACAACTATTGTGAAATGCTAGCGCTCTAACCTGACCCACACGGGTCAAGTTAGGAAACCACCATTTTATTCCTAATATGGAGCCTTTAACTGTCTTATATATTTATTTTGATGGCATTTAAAGAATAATGAATGAAAAATTCAAAACTAAGAAATGAAAATTTTGCCTGTGTCTCCCTTTAAGGTATATTATTTTATCTAAATACAGATTTAACACATTTAATGCAGGTTTGCCTCCTTTCTTAGACATATAATGTTATCGTTATTGGTTATTATCTATCCTGTACATCTGTAAAATAAATAGTGCATAACTTGCTTTAAACTACCATTGTTAAAGATTTGCTATTATACCGCTCCAAATCGCCTAATATAATCTGTTCAACCTAATCTACCACCAAATACCATCGGTAAAATTTTTTTGCTTCTTAAAGTATTGGAGGGCTTTTTTTTAATTTCTGGTAAAAGTAAAACTGTAGACATTATAAATAATTCTCAGTCAAAGTTTCGAATAGACATTAGAGGGACACATGTTCTTTTGACATGGTGGGACTGAAAATATTTATTTCCAGATAAAAGTACCATGTGATGTAGGTTTAGACCACTTATCTTTCTGCAAAATTTCAGATAATTCGAACACTTCGTTTTTTACAAAATAATTATTCAAATTATAAAAAAATGATCCAAAATGAAAAGCGTTTAAACGCTTTAACTCAAATCGAACTAAGAAATGCATAAACACACGATTTTCATTTTATTTCAAAATATATTTCTTAATTATCTTTGCATACGAGTATATTTCTGTTTAAATTGCTCCAGCTCATTTATGTAAGAAAATTAAATGTTATGTTTTTTAGGCTTTTAAACCTCAGTGGAGTCCCTTTAAGCAACAATCATAAAATTACACAGAAATTGCTCTATTTTGAGACATAAATTTAACACTTAACCTGTATATTATAAATTCAATTTAGGTCTAGCATGGTAAAAGTTTGTTTTTTTTTTGTTTTTTTTTTTTTGTTTTTTTTTTTTTTAATTTATAGCTTTGCTTTGGTAAAGATTTATTAATAAACTAAATAAATCACTTAGAAATGTGCACATGTTGTAAGGAAACACTTGGAAGCTACGGGAAATAATTATTTTTCTTCTTTTATTTGAAACACATTCGAAGCAAAATTTAATGATAACATCATTATTGCATTGACTCTTAGACTAGATATCTATCTCTTCAACAGAAAATAACCGGAAAATAACTTCTTAAATATAAATGATATCTCATTTGAACATTGTAAAGACTTAAAAGAGAGTAAGTGCAATGTCAAAGAACCATATCTTAACATTGCTAAGTTGTAGAATTAGCTCCTATTTTTATACTTAATACAGTATATCCGAAGAATAGCTTAAAAATATAGAAAACATTTTATCAGATCTTCACATGTAGATATATATAAGTATTAGGAAATGCATTGTCAAAGGTTCATAATTTTTTCGAGCTTTTCTTATCGCGTTTTGTAAATTTAAACGTGAAATAATTCTGGAGCATAATTTCTTAACTATCTATGATGTCTCTTTGAAGCTTCACATAGTTGTACAGACTAGAAAGAGTGCAGATATTACGTAGTTTTTTTAATTTGAACGTCCCTCTATAAAACTTAATAGTGCCTGTCCGGAGAACAATCTGAAAAGTTTTGAAGACATTTGATTTTCATTTAGTTAATGTAGATTTTTATATATAACTAAGCAGCTCATCTTATCTTTTTTCCGGGAAATACCAAAATACCAATATATATATATATTGAATTTTGTTTTGAAAACTATCTAGAATGATAGAAAATGGTCTAACTAAGAAAATAAATCCGAACACCAATATCTTTCATTTATAAACGCTGTACATACGTTTAAAGAGTTGTTTACGTGACGTCACAATTTAGCGCCAAATATCGCGTGCAAAACAAGACGCAATAATATATTACTGCGCGCTGTGCAGTTGCGTAGCAAGCAATGGGGTTCGTTACCATTTTTCTTTGATAATGAAATAAAATAAAAAGGTTATTTTTTCGTTTTTCGTGAAATATGGTATATATTTTCACTCAACATGATAAAATGCCACATATTTTCACTCGCCGACCCGGCTCTTGAAAATATGTAGCATTTTATCATGTTTCGTGAAAATATATTCCATATTTCACTCAAACGAAAAAATATCCTCTTAATATATATATACTCTTCAAAACAATGTAGAATGCAGTATCTTTTATTTGGAATATGTTTTGATATTTGATAATTATATGCTTTTAATTTTATTTGCTTCATTCCCCGCAAAAAATTATACATATACAACTGTGTCCGCATCATGGTGGTTTTTAAGTACCAAAATGATAAAAAATATGTTTTCACTCCGGCAATTGTTACAATCGAATTAGATATAAAAATTCATTTGATCCGCTCTATCAAGAGATTAGATGCCTGACTATATTTCATAAGCGATCGAATGAATTTGAAATAAAACACGAGAATATGAGACTGGAAATAAAATGGCATGTGATAATAACGTTTTCTTGCAAATCAATGCAGAACTTATTTTGACATAAGTATTGCATGATCATTATGATACTTTTTGTTATTTTTGATTCATATCTCCGGGTACTGACAGATAACTGAAGTAGCTATTAAAGCGATTCCTGAGTCAATTATTGTAAATTTTATAGACTGAAATCTTTATAAATAGAGCTTCAGGTCGCTTTGCTTTAGGACGAGGAAAATAGGCCGCCATAGACCTACATATCAACCGTTATACAACTTCAGTAACCTTTTTTGCAGTATAAATCTCAGAAATGATAACTTTAAAAGAAAAACCCCCGAGACAGCACTAAAATTTGTATGCGAATTTAAAGTTATTTAATCAGGACTCTTTTAAAATCCAGTACGTGTTATAATTTCCATCTAATACAGGTGTTTGAACAAACTGTTACCGTTATTCCTTCACGATGCAGTATTGGAATTGATACTCAATATGTGATGAAGAATAATTTTCGGGTTAAAAGTAAAATACTTGTTTAACTAATGAGTGTTCTTGTCCAGCAATACTTATAAAAATACTTTTTTTTAAATTTGTCAAAGTATTACATGGTTAACATAATAGCGTTTGTTATTTTTTATAAAAAAAAATCAAGTCACTAACAGTTAATAAAATTAGCTATTTAAAACAAATCCTGAATCAAATCATTTAAATTTTATTGATATTTTTATAAAAATATAGTTAAACCTATTGTTTATTTATGTATGCAACGTTATGAATAGGGATATACATATTATATCCTACTGAGGATAGTACTTATTTAAAGGGACTCCACTGAGTTTTTTTTGTTGTTTTTTTGCATGACGGGACTACAAAATTAATATGTTTTGTACGATTTATGCACCAATTGATGTAGCTGTGGACCAATAACTTGTGTGCAAATTTTTAGATAATTACCTCAACCTTTTTTTCAGGAATCACCATTTATATAGTGCAAAATGACCCTAAATGAAAAGCGTTCCAACGCTTTTCACAAAAGTCGAAAAAAATCGAGTTTCCATTTAAGTCTGATCATATTTCTTTACAATCATTTTCAGATCTTTCCATTTATGTGTTTTAATTGATCTAACCAAAAATTTCAAAGTTGATGTTTTAAGGCTTTTTGACCAATGTGGAGCCCCTTTAATAGAACTAAATATTCTCATTATGCAAGTGATGTCAACTGAGGCATTATTATACCAAAGTAACACTTTGAGAAACAGTGCCTTAAGAACCCTGGTGTGCTTGTGAGAGGCATTTGTTAATGTCGGTTGGCCGTATAATGATGTTAACTTGGGACATTACATATTGGTATTATATTAGGCGATCACAAGCGGTATAATAGCAATTACTTGAATATAACAATCATTTAGTTAACATGTTTGTTTACATTTAGAAATACAGCTGACATTTCAGCCACCGTCGCAAACAATAAGATCTGTATCCATCGAGTTTAATGATAATTGCCACAAAATATTTAGCCTTCATTTAATGTCATTTACCTTTTTGAAGTACTAAAAAAATAAAATTGAAATGTAAACATTTGAAAAAGGGGTTATTGCTCCGCGCCAACAGGCGAGGGGCTATGTCCATGGGCCTAATTTTTATCAAGTAATCCCTTCGATTTACAGCTTAAAATAAATTCGGAATCAAGAACTCCTTGTGATTACTATTATGTAAATTCATATATTGGTTTCCCCTTCGTTGATTCGCAGCACGTCATATTTTAATGAATGGAAACAGGAACAAATTTCACGGAAGCATGAATTCGACAGCTATAAATAGATGACCTTCACATTGTAAAAGTCCAAAAATCTATTTATAGAGTAGATTTTGTCTAAACGAAATGGTCATTCGTGTCGCACTATGGTAATAAATAACGACCTGGCGAAATTTGCAAGAAATTAAATGCAAAGATGTCACAATTCAGAACTGTTCACTATTTAGTGGAGATAATGTGTTAGCGGCCGGATAGCTCAGTCGTTAGAGCCGCGGTACGGTATTCAGAGGGTCCAGGGACCCGTTCAGGCTGCACAATTTTGCAACCTTGTGGCATTTGGCGCTAAACGTGGGGCCGTGATGGTATACAGCTCCGAGTTTAATTTCAAATTGTTCTCGTTAGCCATTGGAAATTCCAGGACGAATTTCAATATAGCTGGGGAGTATGTCACGGTTCAGAATTTTCACTATTTTGGGGAGATAATGTGTAAGCGGCCGGATAGCCTAGTCGGTAGAGCCGCTGTACGGTATTCTTAGGGTCCCTGGTTCGAGTCCCGGTCAGACTGCACATTTTTTCGATCCTGTAAAATTAAGTAGGCAAGTTTTTACAAAATATTTTATCATAATATTATCATTTTGATTTTTTTTCCGTAGGTTCTCTCCGGTATATAGCTCCTTTCTTTTTTACGGCCCTGATTGCACTTCTGACATTTTTACCGTGAATATTTACATCAACCCTGACTTCTCGAAAAAAATTTGTAAGAAGTTGATTTTATTTTGTTTGAAGGCACACGGTTTTGTGAAATGTTGATTTGCCGAATACTTTGATATTTTAACAACAGAAACTTTCGTCTTCACTTTGAATATGAGGTGTTATGTTTTTTTTAGGAATGTAAACACAGAGTTTTGAAGCAATTCCTCAAAAGAGTAGTTTTATCTCCCAATAAACTAATAAACAATAGCTCTATATTCATCACCAATGTCAAGTAGGTTTTATATCTTTGTCTGCACGAACATGATGTTAGTGAATTTCCTCATACCTGTCTAAAAGTTAGGTTACAGTCTTCAATTATATTGATAAACAATGTTTCACCATATAACGTGTATAACAAACAAAAAATTCTGAATTTGGTCTTTTTGAAATTCATCCCAATTTTTCATTCCAGTGTGTATTCAACTTTCAGTATTTATCCGGGACTTGAAATCTATAATCCCATGATGAAAACATTTTTTTTAAATTAAACATGAAAACAATACATGTACTATTGCTATGTTAGACCCTTTTGTTAATATTTGTATATTTGTTACAATTATAATAATAAAATACAGACTTTGTTCATTTCATTTTGACTATTGTTTTGTATGTTCCAAATAAAATACATTTAATAGTCCAATCTCTAGCAAACCTACCAAAGTTCACGATAAACAATGTCTTTTGTCCTCCCATTTATCTATGATGTACAATTCTGGAAAATCCAATTAACCACTGAAAACCTTATAAAAATATCTAGTCATCATATGTCTACTAGTTCATTGTCATTAGCTGCATTTCTTGCTTGGACGCCCTTTTATGCTTTGCATCAATGCTTTTCTTGTTATATCGTGATATACCATTTGCAGCGAAACATGCAAAGAACTTTTTGAAAAGTAAAGTCCATAAAAGTTTTTGCTTTGGCTTATTTACATATGTTTTTTTATATTTCTTACCCTGATTAGTTGTTGATATTTGTAGAAAATGAGTAGGCATATAGGAAAAAAACAAAATGTACATGCTTGATGTTTTATCATCTTATACTACTGACTACTGTAGTGACACAGACAGAACACTGTTGCACTACTGTCATGTCACATTACATTTACAAATAGAGAAAAATAAAAATCCCTAAAGATAGCCCAACACGGCAAAATTGAAAATGTTGCAGACTCGGTTTGATTGAGTCTGTTCACAAGTCTTGTAAGCCTTGTTTGCATTTAATGGAATTACTTGCCTTACCAGGTAGGCATCAGTGAAAACATATTTTTAAAGATTTAATATCTGGCCCCTCTCTTATGTACAGTGCATACGACAAGTATAATTGTGCGTGTGTGAGTCTTTTGCCGTGTTGGGCTTTCTCTAGGGATTCTTATTTTCTCTATTTGTGTGTATTTTTTTTTTATTTTCTCTTTCTCTTTTATGAATTTGCATAGCATCAGGAAAAAAAAGAACAGGTAAAAATAATTCTTTAATTATGAAGTGAGGTTTATATAAACCAGATAAAATAATTTTCAGTTAATCATATGCAAAACTTTAAAATATGAGTAAGATCTGTATGCATTGAGTTTAATAATTATTGTCACAAAATACTATGCTGTTAAGGAGCGTTCTTATAATCATGACATTAACCTCTAAAGTACTATATAAAAATTATATCAAAATCATACACGTATTTTTAGCAAAATTGAAGTAGGAAAAGAGTTTTATTGTTTCTCTGTAAATGGAAATAATTTATCCTAAACTGTTTCAGCCGATCTTAGGGAAAACATCCTTTCTGCTAAACATTGTTGTACGCAGATTAATTTTTGGTCAGTTTGTCTAGTTGCTTATGTCATGAGTTTAACTCTAAAACTTTAGGAGAACAGCATTAAACTCCATATGTGTACGTGTCGCATTCAGTGTAAATGCTGAAAATTGTAATTTAATTTCTTTTCCATCGTGTGAAATTATCGCTCTTTTCAAATGACCGTCCGACCATCTGTCCGCGCTGTAACATTTGAACCGATGAAAAGGAAATTAAACAAATGGCCGAAATGTGGACCAGAGTAGGATGATGTACAGAGCGGGGGTTTCACTTTCCTCAAATAAATATTTCTAAAAATATTCAACACCTAAAATACAAAGTATTGCCTTGCAATGGGGGTCACTTGCTTTGCTATGCTCCAAGGAGGAAGAGTGAATAAATGTCGCTACTTCCGACCGTCACACAGTCGACTATTGAATATGATGATACTAAATAATGCTTGTCCGGAGAATAACTTGAAATGTATTATCTCCTTATGTGATACTTAAAATTACTTTTTTTTAAAAATAATGTTTGTCCAGAGAATATCTTCTTAACTTTCAATGATATCTTCTTGGAACTTCGGAATATTTGGCATTGGCCTGTTGAATTTTACAATGTTTTATGATTTATGCATCTATGATTAAAAACTTTCTCACCATCGGGATCATTTAGCTCCATAAGGATAAAAGTAATTTTGTTTCACTTTTGCAATTATTACAGATAAATTATATATGTGAATTCTTTTGATTCGCTCTATTACGTTATAAAACGCCTATATATATTTATAAGTTATGGATTGAATTTAAAAGCATACGAGTGTTTTAATACACGAGGATATGAGACAGACGAATGAAGATATATTTGGTAACTATATAGATTGTTAATGCATGTGTTCAAATTAACAGTCAGAAGGCTCACGATCAAGATAAAAGAATTGATAATAAAAGTGGACCTGAACAAGAAGACATAATTAAGAACTCTACTGAAGACAAGGCACATGGACAAAACGGTGATGAAAATCAAGAGTAAGTATTTTAAAATTGCTTTATAACATTATATTGCCACTGTTTTGTACATTTCAAACATTTATACTTGTATATAGAAAGTGTATAGAGTTCCGATTTAAACAATGACCAAATGGTAGATAATTGTTGAAAAAATTTGTTTTAGGTATATTATTTTATCGAAATAGAGATTTAACACATTTAATGCAGGTTTGCCTCCTTTCTTAGACATATAATATTATCGTTATTGGTAATTATCTATCCTGTACATCTGTTAAATATATAGTGAATAACTTGCTTAAAGCTACCATTGTTAAAGATAGTTTTTACCTAATCCACCACCAGAAATCATCGGTAAAAATGTTTTTGCTTCTTGAAGTATTTGAAGGATTTTTTTAATTTCTAGTAAAAATAAAACTGTAGACATTATGAATATTTCTCAATCGAATTTCCGAGTATACATCAAGCATACATATCATTGTAGATAGTTAGATATGTATGCAATATTTTAAGACATAAATTACAAAAATACCTTAATGTTCTCAGGCCCATAATACTGCTGTCATGTGAAATAACTTGGCACAAGTACGAAACATGATGACACATTATCATGCGCAAGACCTAGACCTCTAGTTCCAAGACCAAGAAACATTTTAAAAGTCATATGTCAGCAGTCAATATGAATATTAAAAACTGTTTTTATCAACAACCAGCGTTCCTTTTACTTTAAAGGGACCCAGCTATAGTTTTTATTTGGCATGAATGGACTGGAAACATTTTTCGAGTATACATCAATCATACATAGCATTGTAAATAATTAAATGTGTATGCAATATTTTAAGACATAAATTACAAAAATACCTTAATGTTCCCAGGCCCTAAATACTGTCATGTATCAAAGTATTATGAAATAACTTGGCACAAGTACGAAACATTATGACACAGTGCATCATTAGCAAGACCAAGACTTCTAGTTCCAAGACCAAGATTTCTCTTAAAAGTCATACGTATGTCAGCAGTCAATATGAATATTAGAAACTGTTTTTATCAACAACCGGCGTTCCTTTTACTTTAAAGAGACACCGCTGTAGTTTTTTATTTGGCATGAATGGACTGGAAACATTTTTCCGAGAGATTTGTACCATTTGATGTAGGTGTCTGAACCAGCAACTTGCGTGCAAATTTTCAGATCATTCATTCACCCCGTTTTTCCTTAATAGTAATCTGTATTGTGCACATGACCCAAAAATTAAAAGCGTGTGCAATTTATATTTTTGAGTATTTTTGCATGTTGGTGGCAACTAAAATAACAAACTGTAAACAAAAACAGTAGAATCATGTGGTAAATGAATAACATCAACCAATCACCATAGTCGTTATGAATAATTCTAATTATATATTTAAACAAGAAGCGCCGCAATGCGACAAAAAAAAACAGATTTTCAACCACCAAGTATTGATGTGACATGAATTACGAATGAAATATGGCAGTGAAGACAAAAATGATGCTGTTATTTGTACCAATACAGATAGTTTGTTTCACTAGTTTAAAATAAAAATATACCAGATACCCGAGTATCAATTCCAGGTTGTATTTCGTGTAAGCTACACACATGTCGAATTAAGTATCAATAGGTCAAGGTGTACTGAAGATAATGAGTAGAAGCTAAAAAATTAATTGTAAATAAAAGATTGGGACCTTGCTCGCATACATTTAAGTAGCAATTCCAAGCTGCATGTTAATTTAGGTTACCCATACACCATACAACAAGTTTAGTGTCAACAGGTGTAAGCAAACTCAACCTATTTTGCGGAGAATAAATTTCTATTTTAAGCAACTGTGACATTGAAAATAATCACAGGCATCTGGGTAGCAATGTCGAGTTGCGTCTTGACATAAACTATCCACACACAAAATTGCCTTTAATTTGTCTCAGCTAGCTAAAGTTATTACATGTATGTGGAAACTGATGTTCTTTACAAACAGTGACCTAAATTCTTATAACTGTCATATGGGAAGTATTTACAAGCTGCCTGTTGATATAAGCTACCAAGATAAATATTTGGTATCAATAGGCCAAAGAAAACTCAAGATATCGAGCGGAAACTGAAGTTCTATTTTTTTAGAAATAGTGACCATAACCTTGATAACATGCACCTGGGTAGCAATCCCAAGTGGCCTCTTGATATAAGCTACACATACACCAACCTTGGTACCACGAGGCCTAAGCAAACTAAATTATTAAGAGGAAACTGAATTTCTATTTTTAGCAATAGTGTCTTTGACTTTGGTCACTGACACTTGGTTAGCAAATCCAAGCTGCCTCTTGAAATACGCTACTCATACACCAATTTTGGTATCCATAAGCCAAAGCAAACTCTAGTTATAAAGCAGAAAATGAATTTCTATTTTTAGCAGCATAAACATTTAATTCGATCACAGACAGCTGGGTAGCTATCCCAAGCTGCCGTATATGATACTTAAAATCATTAATAAATGCTTTTCCAGATTTTAAAATTCTTAACTTGCAATGGTATTCTAATGGAACCTCACACAATTGTATAGACTGGAAAGAAAAAGTGCCGTGGCAAGGAACCATATCTCAACAATCCTTAGGTTTTCTTTAAATTTGAATCTCCCTTTACAGAACTTTATAATGCTTTGGAAACTGAATTTCTATTTTTAGAACCAGTGACCTTGAATTCAATCACAGACACCTGGGTAGCAATCACAATCTGCCTCTTTATATAAGCTCCCCATACACCACGTTTGGTGTCAAAACGTCTAAGCAAACTCAAGTTATTGAGCGGAAACTGAATTTCTATTTTAAGCAACAGTGACCTTGACTTTGATTATTGACACCTTAGTTGCTATCCTAAGCTGTCTCTTGATAAACACTACCCATATACTAAGTTTCGTGTGAAATGTTGACCAGAATAAGATGATGTACATAACGGGGGTTCACTTTCCTCAATAAATATTTCTTAAAAAATTCAACACCTAAAATACAAAGTATTGCCTTGCAATGGGGGTCATTTGCTTTCTATGCTCCCAGGAGGAAGAGTGTATAGTTGCCACTAGTTCCGTCCTTCAAACTCTCAAATTTGAAATATTTTTCTTTATGATACTAAATAATGCTTGTCCGGAGAATAACTTGAAATGTATTATCTCCTTATGTGATACTTAAAATTATTTTTTTAAATAATGTTTGTCCAGAGAATATCTTCTTAACGTTCAATGATATCTTCTTGGAACTTCGAAATATTTGGCATTGCCTTGTTGACTACTACAATGTTTAATGATTTATGCATCTATGATTAAAAACAGGATCATTTAGCTCACTCAGGATAAAAGTAATTTCGTTTCACTTTTGCAATTCTTACAAAATAAATTAGATATCTTAATTCTTTTGATTCGCTCTACTACGTTATAAAACGCCTAAATATATTTATAAGTAACTGTTATGGATTGAATTTAAAAGCATATTTTTATACACGAGGATATGAGACGACAAATGAAAATATATTTGGTAACTATATAGATTGTTAATGTATGTGTTCAAATTAACAGTCAGACGGCTCACGATCTAAATAAAAAAAATGATAATGAAAGTGGACCTGGACAAGAAGACACAATAAAGGATTCTACTGAAGACAAGGCACATGGACAAAACAGTGATGAAAATCAAGGGTATGTATTTTTGAATTGCTTTATAACATTATACTGCCACTGCTTTATACATTTCAAACATTCATACTCGTATATACAAAATGTATAGAGTTCCGATTTAAACAATGACCAAATGATAGATAATTGTTAAAAAAAAATGTTTAAGGTATAAATTGTTTTATCGAAATACAGATTTGGCACATTTAATGCAGGTTTGTCTCCTTTCTTAGACATATAATATTATCGTTATTGGTAATTATCTATCCCGTACATCTCTAAAATATATTGTGCATAACTTGCTTTTAACTACCATTGTTATAGATAGTTTTTACTTAATCTACCACCAGATACCATCGGTAAAAATGTGTTTGTTTCTTGGAAGTATATGAAGGTTTTTTTGTTTTTTTTTTGGTTTTTTGGGGTTTTTTTTAATTTCTAGTAAAAATAAAACTGTAGACATTATGAATAGTTCTCAATCAAAGTTCCGAATATACATAAAGCATATATATCATTGTAGATAATTAGATGTGTATGCAATATTTTAAGACATAAATTACAAAAATTCCTTAATATTCTCAGGCCCATAATACTGTCATGTATCAAAGTATTATGACATAACTTGGCATAAGTACGAAACATGATGACACAGTATATCATGCGCAAGACCTAGACCTCTAGTTCCAAGACCATGGTTCCTCTTAAAAGTCATATGTCTGCAGTCAATATGAATATTAGAAACTGTTTTTATCAACAACCAGCGTTCCTTTTACTTTAAAGGGACCCCGCTATAATTTTTATTTGGCATGAATGGACTTGAAACATTTTTCCGAGAGATTTGTACCATTTGATGTAGGTCTGAACCAGCAACTTACGTGCAAATTTTCAGATCATTCATTTGCCCCGCTTTTCCTGAATAGTAATTTGTAGTGGGCACATGACCCACAATTAAAAGCGTGTGCAATTTTTTTATTTTAGTATTTTTGCATGTTGGTGGCAACAAAATACAAACTGTAAACAAAAATAGGGGTAAATGAATAACGCCAACCATTTTGAATAACTCTAAGTAAAGGTTTAAACAAAACGCCCTGCAATGCGACGAAAACCAGGTTTTTAACCACCGCCAAGTATTGCTGTGACAGGAATTAGGAATGAAATATGACAGTGAAGAAATAAATGATGCTGTTGTTTGTACCAATTTCACTAAACTAAGTTCAAAATAAAAATATACTAGATACCCGCGTATCAATTTCAGATTGTATTTCGTGTAAGCTACACATATGTCAAGTTAAGTATCAATAGGTCAAAGTGTACTGAAGATAAGGAGTAGAAGCTAACAATTTGATTGTAAACAAAAGATCGGGACCTCGCTCGCATACATTTGAATACAACAATACAACACATTTAGTGTCAAGAGGCCTTAGCAAACTCAACTTATTTTGCGGAGAATAAATTTCTATTTTAAGCAACAGTGACATTGACATTAATCACAGACATCTGGGTAGCAATTTCGAGTTGCGTCTTGATATAAACTACCCACATACGAAATTTGCTTTCAATATGTCATAGCTGGCTCAAGTTATTATGTGAAAACAGATTTTCTTTACCAACAATGACCTTTATCTTAATCACTGGCACATGGGAAGTATTTACAAGCTGCCTGTTCATATAAGCTACCAAGATACAATATTTGGCGTCAATAGGCCAAAGAAAACTCAAGATATTGAGCGGAAACTGAATTTCTATTTTTTTAGAAATAGTGACCATAACCTTGATAACATGCACCTGGGTAGCAATCCCAAGCGGCCTCTTGATATCAGCTACAGATACACCAACGTTGGTGCCAATAGGCCAAAGCAAACAAATTATTAAGTGGAAACTGAATGTCTATTTTTAGCAACAGTGACTTTGACCTTGGTCACTGACATCTGGTAAGGAAGTCCAAGTTGCCTCTTGAAATACGCTACTTATACACTATGTTTGGTTTCAATAGGCCAAAGCAAACTCTAGTTATTTAGCAGAAAATGAATTTCTATTTTTAGTAACATAGACCTTGAATCCGATCACAGACAGCTAGGTAGCAATCCCAAGCTGCCGTATATGATACTTAAAATCATTAATAAATGCTTTTCCAGAGTTTAAAATTTCTAACTTTCAATGATATCCCAATGGAACCACACAATTGTATAGACTAGAAAGAGGAAGTGTTGTGGCAAAGAACCATATCTCAACAATCTTTAGGGTGTTTTTTTAAATTTGAATCTCCCTTTACAGAACTTTATAATGCTTGGGAAACTGAATTTCTATTTTTAGAACCAGTGACCTTGAATTCGATCACAGACACCTGGAAAGCAATCACAATCTGCCTCTTTATATAAGCTACCCATACACCACGTTTGGTGTCAAAACGTCTAAGCAAACTCCAGTTTTTGAGCGGAAACTGAAATTCTATTTTAAGCAACAGTGACTTTGACTTTGATCATAGACACCTAAGTAGCTATCCTTAGCAGTCTCTTGATAAACGCTACCCATACCAAGTTTGGTGTGAATAGGCTAAAGCAAACTTAAACTTAGCGGAAACTAAAAGTTGACGCCCGCCCTGCCGACTTTGACATTACAAAAACCTGGTTAATAACTGTTTAAGCCAATTTATGTAAAAATGTAAACGACAATTCATTTTATTGTTAATTGATAAAATAATGTTATATATTTCATGCAATGCTTATAAATATTATAATAACATTTAGAGATACTCTTAACCCATAGTTATTGTACTAAAAAAACCTAAAGCAACATTATTACGAACTCTTAATTCATGATAATTAAACATTCATTAAAAAGGCGTGTTTTTACAATTAGCAGTCCAAATTTTATCTTTTATACGGTTGTTTAACAGAACCTATTAATTTGAAAAACAAATAGTAATGCAAAAGTATAGTGTTGTCCTTTTTTCTAGTAACATGGCTAATGTACACAGAACTCAAATCTTTGTCACTACACCAGCTCAATCAAATATTGTAGTTCAGCCGCTAGATGACAATACAGTACAGCAGAGCAGTGTAGGTAAACAGAGTAGTAAAACACACAAGTAAGTATTCGTAGTAAAGAAGAATATTGATACATTATAATTATGCAGACGTCCACTAAGAAGATTTGGTTTGCTCTTCGGTATTTGCAGATTTATTGTCTAAATGATATTTTAACCAACTCAAGAATAACTCCATATGATATAATAGACTTTCGATTATAATAATAAATTTATTTCTTAATGATGACTGTCGAAAGAGTCTGGTCTGACTGTTCTTCAGTTTTTATAAGATTTTCTTGTTTTGCCTTTAAAAGATATCTTTTACAATCTGCTGACAAACTTTCATTTAATATTTGAAACAATACCCTTTTTAACTATAAATGAATATGTGCATTATCACTGTAATCAAGTAAAGATAAGCACTCGCTTTTTAAGTAATTCTTTTATGTGAAATAATTCGTTTCCGCAAACTTTGGCATAGAAATATGTTATATCAAAACAAAAAATATGTTTGTTGTTCATCGCAATTAACTCATTTTTTGGAAGAATTATGCCCCTTTTTGACAAAACTGTCTGTGTTTTAATTAGTTTCCATAGAACAGATTTAAAGGGATTTCACTAAATGCTTTTGTGTAGGTCAAATCTTATTATATCAGCAACTGATTAATTGCAACATTTTCTAAATCGATTTATTTCAATCAAAAAAGAAATCAATTATCTTCTATTACGGTTATTTGGCTTTTGATTATGATGTCAAAGTCATCATCAACAATAAATTTGCTGTCTTTCCTTTAGGCAAATATGTACATAATGCCATATTTAAATTTGCCGACGGGTTTAAATTGAACCGCCTCAGGGGTTGTAATATATTGTTATTTGTCTCATATTTCTATTGTTATGATATATTAAGCATTATATTGCTTTATTTATTATTTTCAGTTCTTGAAACATTCATGAAAAATAACTTCTATTACGGCTAGTATTTTTACTTTAATTCATATCATCATACAGCTAACTACAAATTAATTTTAACTGCTTTAAATTGCGATAAATGTTTGTGATGATAATGATTGTGAAGCCAATTTTATTACTCTTGTCCTGCACAAAGTGCAATAGTAAATTGTAGTTTATATGATAGTCTTGTTTTGACCATTATCTTTACAATCATATATCTTTTTTCTTTCAGTGATATACCTCGTGGAATATCAACAGTTTTTAATGACCCTGATAATAATGATCCTCAACCAGCTTAAACTGATAGTGAATGAAATTGGCAAATGTTTGAACTATATGAATAGATATTGGCATTTCAAAACATGAAAACAAGTTAAACGATTACATTTTTTTTATCAATTTCACTTGTTTATAAACAGTTATGTATACGACATTTAAAGTGTGTAAAGCTATGTATTTACTTTCGATGGATTATATATTGATTTATTGTTTTTTATATTGTTCGTAAAATGATTACAGAATGCATAGAAAAACAATATTTTACTCAAAGCGAGTAGGATATTGTGAAATCATCGCCAAACCTCCTAAAATACATCAAACTATTTTTTCAGTGATATTTTTTAATTACATAATGGTGTGTAGTAATTCAAATATACATTCAATGAGAAACGACCGTATCGTTATGAAAACAACATCATTAAAAAAAATATTTCATTATATAACTTTTTGCACGTTTAAAAGACAAATAATAGGTATGAACTTATAAAATTGAACACAATATTTTGGTTGGAGATTTCCTGAAAAGGACAAATTTAACCTATGGTCGACAGGCACATTAAATATCACTAGTCCGTTCGTATCTAAAGGACTTTTTTATTTAGATATCAAGTCCTGATGCGCAATTAACATGTCTTTTGACACGCTTGCTTAACGCATACCTATTCAGTATCGGTGCTTTTTCTCAAATTAGGTGTGAAAAGCAATTTTCGTTGCTAGTGCGCTAAAATTTCATGTAGACGTTTCTCTCCCATGGTGTAAACGTATTCATCGAGTAATTCGTAATGGCCTTGCTACAATGCAGTAGAAATATTGAGAGGTTGATATGGAAAACTTCATTTTATATCTAAAAGTCAATTTGATCAATTTAATTTTGTATCGACAACCGAAAATTTTACATAAGCGTCAGTGTCAATGACTAAATAAATAACATTGTTTATTTTCTGTTCAATGCTGCAAGGATGTTACGGATTATCTAAACTACGTTTGGGAAGTGTATGTTATGTCTTTTGTCACGTTTTGGCATATATTTAAACGAATTAGAAATGCGGTTGACCATTAATCGTCTTACATGTATGTAAAAAGCAAATAATTCTAGCTATTTAATTGCAGCTTTTTATTAGCATTTTATAACTTATTGTGAAATACCAATTTACTGAAACCTAAAAATGTCTAAGAAATCATCTTTAAAAAGTTCTTCGAAAGGAAAATGCAAAAAAGCAGTAGCACTGCCATTTGTTAGGACAGGTAAACATTTCAAATCAAAACATATGCATCGAAGGCCTGTAACAACAAATATTTTATTAATATCATATTGACATGCAAGTGAGTGTAATTAAACCTACTGGAGGATACAAGTTAATAATCATTCATGTGGAGTACGTAAACTGAAAAAAGATTGATACTCTGAATGACTGGATGATATTCCATTTCGAATTCCCAAATATACTATGTAAATGGAGTTTGTTATTTATTTACATAATCATGTCTAACATATATAAGCGTAATTAATTACAAACATTCCTCCAACAATGTGGAACAAAGGTTCAGTGACACATAGCATAATATCAGATAGGATAGTGTTTTATACAGTTAAATGTTTTTTTAAGACAAATGCAACCATCTTACTTACATAGATATGGAAGGATACACTACTATAGAACCTACAGCACCATGTGCACACCTGCATCACTAAACACAATGATTAATGTCATGGTACTGATAAACCGTTGTTACACATTTTTGTTTTTAAATTTGTAAAACGGCTTTAATATGTGAAATTGTACATTATGTATACGCACACTATTTTCAGACACATAAGTCCAAGGATTAACACTTTACTCCCTTAAAAAATATTCACTTGATCTGTGAAAATAAATACACACATGATAAAATTAGCCAGGTCAAACTGTGTGTTTAGTTATTGAAATGATGGACATAATTATATAAATCACAATAACATAAAGTAACACAAGCTATCTTGATTTTTTCAAGTTTACCTGCACGACGATATTACAAAAAAAAATCGCACACCTGATTCAAAGCGAAGCACTAATGTACTGTAGATTTGCGTTGAGCAGGCGTTATTAATGTGTTATTTATCTGTTTAACCTGTATTCTGTGATATCAATACCTATTGGCTCATTCGTCACATTGAAGAAAACATTTTCTGTCGTGTCCTGATTAAATGCACAAAAATAATATTCTTCACCTTGTAAATTTGCAAAATTGTCTGATTTCTTGTTTCACGCAAATAAGTCATGAATGCATGCAAATAAGCCATAAATAAGGAAATCTGTTTTTGGCATTTGTATCCCTTTTTGAAGAGTGTTAATGCTCCTTAGAATGTGAAATAAAACGCCTTTTTATTTCATCGTTGTATTATTGAAAGACAGGACGCTGTTGGTATCAGTATTTAAAGTGTATAAATCTATATCCTACGATATATTTTTATAAGATGTATGAACAGTAAAATTATATTGGTTACATTATAATTTGACTGATTCTCTAAAAGCCGTAACATAGAATGTCTCTATTATTTAATACATATGAATAATGTATGTAAACAGAATAAAACGTTCCGGAACAAATTGTTATTTTGCTGTTTTAGGTTGGGTTTTATCCGCCCTCGCTTAAAGGCAATTTAGTGCCATGTTTATTTCATACAAACATTTTGGAAGTATTCTTTTTGCAAAATCCAGACAATATTTTTGTATGGGATATACATGTATATCTTTATACACTTTAAGTTAACTCTATATATTTATTTTTAATCAGTGTATTTTATCATTATTATCTGTTCGGTAGTATCGTACTTGCCGTTAAGTCCATTAACTTTTTGTCGTTGAAGTTAGCGAGTGTTTTGTTTACATGAATATCACCTGGTGTCGAGATAAATGTCACTTCTTTTTAACTGTCAATTGAACGCGTCTTGATCAATAGCAACATGTCATATTATATATTATTACCTTAAAGGCCCATTTTGCCCCAGAAATGAAGAAAGAATTATTTCCTTCTTTAGAAAAGATAAAAGTGACTTAAATAACCATAACGGCATGTTACATGCTTAATACCTGAAGAAAGAAGGGATGAACGTGACATTATGTGTCATAATAGTAGGTAAATGTAATCAAAATTTATTTTGACTTGCATAGAAAATACTTTACAAAGTATCAGGAGCAAATGTAAATAAGATGATTGGCCAATAAGTAGCTGCAAGGAAATCTTAATGGGACACAGAAAATAAAAAGCTTTAATTTGCGTAATAGATGTAAAATCAATTTTTTGGACATAATGGGCATAAATTTACGCTTGTATGAAATAGTCTTACTTATTTTTAGGCGAGTAATTTTGTCTCTGATAAAAGTTTTGAATGCTGAAATATATTTATTTTTGAACGTGTTGTTGTATGCATTAAATGATTTTGATTTGTTGTCATACCTTAGATATTGATTTATATTAAACTATTTTGATGAGCTTGATGTTTTCTTTCAATGTAATCCTTTTAATTAAGATACATGTTTATAATGCGTGTGTCACATATATAACTAGAACTGTGTCCGAAGGACACGGATGCCCCCACTGTGCAGATGTGCTCGTAAACAAGAGCATGCATATCTGAATGTAAGATTTTTATGTGGATTTTTTTTATTCTGCATTGGCAAAGAAAAGGGCCATAATTCTGTGAAATTCAGTCGCAGCGAAAATTCCTTCCTTTACTTCCATCTACACATGAATGTTGTTCATCCCTGGAAGTTTAAGCAAAACCTGCCGTCCGGTTTAAGAGGAGATGCGTTCACAAAATTTCTATATGGTATATAGTGAAAAAATCAACTAACGGTCATAATTTTGTTAATTTTGGTCGCAGCAAAAATTCCTTCCTTTACTACCATCTACACATTCAGGTTGTTCATCCCTGGAAGTTTAAGCAAAATCTGCCATCCGGTTTAAGAGGAGTTGCGTTCACAAAATTCCTACATTGTATATAGTGAAAAAATCAACAAAGGGCCATAATTCTGTTAAATTTGATCGCAGCGAATATTCATTCCTTTACTGCCATCTACACATTCAGGTTGTTCATCCCTGGAAGTTTAAGCAAAATCTGCCATCCGGTTTAAGAGGAGATGCGTTCACAAAATTCCTACATAGTATATAGTGTAAAAATCAACAAAGGGCCATAATTCTGTTAAATTTGATCGCAGCGAAAATTCCTTCCTTTACTGCCATCTACACATTAAGGTTGTTCATCCCTGGAAGTTTAAGCCAACCGATTTAAGAGGAGTTGCGTCCACAAGATTTCGGGGCGTACGGATAGACGTACGGACGGACGGACGTATGGACGGACGTTCCAACATTTTGGGTTTAGGGACTATTTTCTTTGTTATTTTCTTTGTTTTCTTAAGGACTACTAGCCCCTAAACCCTTTGATCACGGAATGAACCTATTGTTCTCTTTTGATCTCTTTACTGTTATATAGCCCCTAAACCCAAAATGTTTGCTCGGACAGACGTACGGACGGAAGGACAAGTGCAACGCTATATACACTCTACTTTGTGGGGGCATAAAAATGAATGAAATTTGTGTTGCATGTTATGTCTACAGTTATTGGACCGATTTACATGGTGCAAATGTAACTCTCTTTAAAGAGACTTGCATGAAGAAACAGTTTTAATTCACTGTAAAATAATTTTGTTGTCGTTATCATTATGTCTCCCAAAATTTTTGGGATACATATTATTTTTGCATTCTTTCCCGTCCGTCCGTATTCAGACTCCGGCTATCACAGGTCAAGCTGCTAGCAGGATTTCAATGAACCTTCACTAGAGTGATCAGTCTTATTCCTAGCTGTGCATATCGTCGGCATGTTCTGCCTCACTGCACACAATGGCTGCAGCTATGAATAGAAAACAGTCTTGTCTGGCTTTCACATGTTAAACGTTTGGCGGAATTTCGACAAAATTGCACAAGAGTGATCACTGTCATACACCTAGTTGTGCATTTCGCGAGCACGTTCCGCTTCTGTGAACAAAATGGCGCCAGGGCTATAAAGAGAAAAGTCTTGTCCGGCTTTCACATGTAAATTGCTGGCTACTTCACATGAGTAATCAGTACCATCCCAATTTGTGTATATTGCCGACACGTTTTCCTTTTCTGCAATAACTGGCCACCAGAGCTATAAATATAAAAGGTATTGTCCAGCATTCACAGGTAAAACTGTTGGTTGGATTTTAATGAAACTTCACAGGAAAGTTCAGAACCATACCTAGTTGTTCATATTATATCATATGAATAGAATAATCTTGTCCGACTTTCACAGGTCAAACTCCTGGGGGATTTCGATGAAATTTCACAACAGTGATCAGTACCATTCTTGGTTATGAAATCGCCGACACGTTCCTCTTCGCTGCACAAAATGACTGCCATAGTATTTAATATAAAAATCTAGTCCGGCTTTTACAGAGGATACTGCTGGACAGATTTAAATAATACTTCACAGAAGTGATCAGTACTATCCCTAGTTTTGCATTTCGCCGGCATGTTCCACTTCGTTGTACAAAGTGGCCGTCACAGCTATATATAAAATAAACCTATCCAGATTTCACTGATCAAACTGATTTCGACCAAAATTCACAGGAGTAATCAGCACTACAACTAGCTTTGGGAGACATATGTTTTTGTGACAGAAACGTCTTCTTATTTCCAGTTGCTGTTTTCGATATGAACCCTAATTTGTAAACATTAACAAGGCAATTGCTTAAATAACGCTTTTTTTGAAGACAATTGTATTAATTTGTCAATAATTTCTTCGCTCGTTAACAAAATCTGCTGGAGACAAAATTACATAACTAACTACGATCACTCTTGTTATTTTTTTAAGAAAATCTCTAGTATCAAAACAAGGTCAGTTGGAGTCAAATATTGCCTCGAAGTCTAAAAAAAGAGACAAAATCTAAAATCAAACTTAAATTTCTTAAAGTTAAATAGAGAAAAAACAGAATCCCTAAAGAAAGCACAACACGACAAAGTTAAAAATGTTGCAGACTCGGTTTGATTGAGTCTGTTCATGGACAGTCCTGGAAAATGCAAGTTACCGTCCACGCCCCTAACACCGGCTTTAGCAGAATTCAACATTTAACACGAAACTGGTGAAATTTTGAATTTAGAAACATCCACAGATGTGTTCATACGGCGGTTATCACGGAACCTTCAATGTGACACAGTAGTGCCATTCCATGAAAAGCGGCGTATGGTCCACAAGTAAAGGAATGCTTTTGCCCTAAACGAGAAAACAATGGGCGGAACTAAATAAAATGGAATTTTGAAAGGGGATCTGAGGTTACGAAGCCTGCATATCAAAGATAAGAAGTCAAAAGACAAATTTAAAAAACAGGCAACATATCCTAAGGATGATTATACAGTATTCAAGTCGGAATACTGGAACCACATCAGTTGAAAATGGCCAAATAGAAAAAAAAACTAAAAGTACCACATAACATGTATACACAACAATTATGTCGTGCTGACGATCTTCTAGGATCGAAAATATAACATCATTGATTAAATGTACGGGGAGACATCTGCAAATAATCCATATACTAATAGACAGTGAGATTTTCATTCCTGCTCATGAAAATACTCAGTCAAACTCTGTGAAACGAAGCCAGCAATTGTCTGTATTTGTGGTCCGCCTGGGCTCCTTGCCACTGGTTCTTGTTGCTTCGTCGTAGGGGGGTTGCGTTCATTTAACGCCGCCTTTCCTTGTTGATCTTTTTTATCATATTTTATGCTCACAACCGTGTTGTTTGTGCCGTGTGGCGGCTGCAAAAAGTCTCCCCGTACATGCAATCAATGTTGTTATATTTTCATCCTCAAGGGATTGTTCGGCGTTCAGTGTTGCGTTCATCGAACGCCGCCTTTCCTTGTTGATCTTTTTTATCATATTTTACAAAGTTCTCGTTGCTATAGAAGGATCAACCTTTTCAGAATCTATTAATTATTATTGCATATCTTACTAAATCGTAAAAAATGCATTGAAAGTGCATTAATACTGCCTCAAGATTGTCAATATTAGACGGTATTGAGAATGTGTGCCAATTTCTAATATCAACCTACTTCCTACTATGCAAAAAATCCATATAAAGGTAACTTTATTTTTTACCTTCATTCTAGCAACGACAGACCGTCTGCACGTGTAATTTGTTACGTCATTAGCAATGAGTTATTGTATGACTGCCGAGCGGGTACATCTCAAAAACCGAATAATTGATTTCGATAAGATTATGGTATTAAAATAAAAGGGTTTTGTTCCTTAACATTTTACCTAAAATAGGCGTGTTTTGAGGGCTTCACATCCTCCCCCTTTTGATGCCTAAAAAAATGTGAAAGAAATTCGCTTTTTAGGCCCAAAACACTCAGTCTGTTTTTCGTTTGAGAAATGTTGTTCATAAAAGTGATTATTTTTTCGGCGCCACCCTCATAAAAAGGTACATTAAGGAGGTGCCACAGGGGGGGGGGCGGGGGGTACCCCCTTCTGTCTGAAAGTTTGACGTTGGGCATTATAGCTCCTCTAATCGCCAAGAAAATTTTGGATTTGTGGGGGAGGGGTGGCCTAAAAATGGCTTCAAGTCGATTTAATGGTAACGTGTAACCGACGCTGAAAAGCCCTTGACTCTATCTCAATCAATTGAGAAGTTTCAGCACCTTGAAATCAGTTTTGAAAGAAAAAACAACGCAAAATAGTGATTTTTGGCAATTTTGAGACATCATCCGTTGCAATGGTGACTGGAAATTTAAAATTTAGCATGTTGTTCTACAGGCTATGGTCCAGGCAACATTTGTGCCAAGTTTGATCAGTATTGAAGCATTTTTATATAGTTTCATAGCAGTTTGAACTTGTAACAGGAGGCTTTGTTCAATGAAAAAAGCCTTTTTTTGCAATATGCTCATGCAGTGAATGGTTAAGACGATACCGGCATACTTGGAAGGCAAAAGCCCTCGGGCAAATATTTTACTAAGATTGTCGATATGTTTCTTAAGGCAAGCTTGCCCTGTTAAAACCTATAATTAATGTCTTCTAAATATGTTTTTAATTCTTTTTTTTTAGAGATGACAGTTTCTTGAGACATGTATTGAATGATTTTTATCGTCAATTTGGGTAGTTCTACCCTGCTCCCGACCCTGCTCCCGTCTATAAGCGTACACTTTAACGCCATCTTCATTAAACGCACTTAAACTTTTTTCATCCGTAGAGTGATTTTCAATCAAATGGGAAATTAAATCACTGTATTTGTCCGTAGAAAAAGAACAGTAATAACATTGAAAATGCATTGTTGAATCTGCAATACTTGAATAAATATCATATAAACAGTACATAAACAGCAAAATAAAATGGCATCGATAAACAGACGTAACAAAAATGTACACACAGAGTTGCATCAGTACTTAGGGTGCAGTGTTTAAGTACCAGTATCAGTATTTGCCAAGTTATGAAATATCAGTACTCTTACTGGATTTTAGCTTGGTACTGCAGAAATAGTACTTTTTAGGAAGTAATTAAGTATCAATAACAGTAATTTTATATATTTATCATAGTTTGAATAAATACACAGTGTCAAACAAAAATAAATTATGTATATTTATTTATTTATTTATTTTTGTTTGACACTGTGTATTTATTCAAACTATGATAAATATATATCCGTTGCAAGTTCAGGGGTGAATTTATAAGTATGTATAATACACTTTTCGAGAAAATCTATGACCCCTTGGAGGCAATGATCTTAACAAACTTGGCAGAGGGCTCTTTAAGAATGCCAAATGTGTCTCAGGCATTGAGTGAGCCTATATTTACACCGGGAATCCACTAGGCAATGGCTCTTTTCAAGACAAATATCTAAATTCTAACCAAAGCGCATTAAAAATCGCTTTTTACTACTACTGTGACCTTTTTATGCATCATACAATTGATTTTTTGATAATTTATTTGGAGGGTTACCTACAGACTATTCCTATGACGTTTGAGAAAAACACTTAGACGTGTAAGAGGAGGTGTTGTTTAGAGAAGTAAATGACACTGACAAACGACGTTTACACTACCATTACCAAAACAGCAACATTTAAAATTTGTATGCGCGTTTGATTGTGAATGTTCATGAACGCTAGTAGTAGGTACAAACTACTGTCCAAGCCAAATACCAAAGGATTAAGTAAAATTCAACATTTTCATATGGTATAGTGGATATTAAGGTACATATGTATAATCTATGTGTTTATACGGCGTGATTATTGATGCTTCAATATAACAAGTTGTCTTTAAATGACATGTACAGAATCGCGTCTGCTTCCGCGGGAAAACAGTGGATGAAACTAATTAAAATGCAATATTGACAGGGTATCAGAGGTAATTAAGCTTGCATGTCACATGATAGCATATCCTAAGTGTGATTATACGGTAATTTGTTAAGAAAACTAGAACCACTAAACATGAAAAAATATTAAATAGAAGGGATTTTAATTATTACACACCCAATAATGCTGAAGGATCGGAAATATAATTATAACAGACTAGAAAAAAGATGAAAATATATCATAAAGAGGGATAGATTGTCGATGAATTTCTGTTTATTATGAAGGTCTAGATTGCATGTAAAATCACTAAATCACTAATTTTTAGACAATAATTTCATATGGTTTTCATCTGGTTTTAACCGAAGAGAAAGGATGTTACTTTGCAATGAAATAATATAATATATTTATAAAATATTTATAGGTTTCATTGAAATACAATTATTATGTTGTAAATGTATTATAACTCTAAATTTAGGCCAAAAGGCAATAAATTAATAAGAAATGAAGCAATAACATCACAGTTCATATTTATATCACGCCTTTCAGGATAACAGTGCGATTTAAATGGTAAACAACACATCAATTTATACTAAAACTTTGCACATTTATGACTGGTATGCAAATTTGATAACATAATTTGCTATTATAGTAATCTCATCTTATATATTAATAAAAATGTTTACACTGCACTTTAACGATGTGCCAAATAGCCAGCGATATATTTCTTAATTTGAAAAGTACAGAAATAAGTTAAGTTCTTAATTGTTAAACGGAAAAGAAAGAATTTGTATCTATATAAAAATGAATCACTACTGTAGAAAGATTTAAAGCAGTTATATGTGGAATTTATTATTTCAAGACACACAGTGTTTAAGTGGATTCAGACATTTGAAAATGGAAAATATCAGCAGAATTGAACCCTCGTTCTGGTATGTCTAAGAGCTCCATTATCAAGGCTATTACCATTTTGCAAACTTTTGGCCGAATGTGATTCGCTTTTGCCAGTTACAAAACTATCAAGTTATTGTCCATTGTGCAGAAATGTAAAATAATAATTCACACTTTTGCTGTGCTAGCTACTCATTAAGCAGCAAAGACAACAAAACCATAAAGATGTCCGGTAACAAGCATCAAGCTGTAGAAGAAAATAGAGAAACAAAAACGCTCATAGTGATGCTATCAGATGCTATCTTTTTTGGACGAAGCACGTCTGTTATCGGTTTGACTTCCTGTAAAATTAATATGGAAGGACTGAATATAAAAAGAATCTTCATTGGTCATTTTAAAATTGCAAACTAAAATCGGCGAATCTCATTGGTCATTGTAAAATAGAATGTGAAGGACAGTTCTAACCATTCTAAATAAGAAATGTAAACAATAGTTATTACGATTCTAAAATATTTTTTTAGGATAGCTCTATGATAAAATGTAAGGAATAGTTTTGTCACTATAGAAAAAAATGTAATGGATAGTTCTTAAATAAAATGTACAGGAATGAGAAAAGTTCTTTAAATTTTAGATTAATTTGTAAATGATTACTAAATTTATAAAGTCAAAAGGAAAACAAGTATAAGTAAATTTAAATTGTTCTTGCTTGAAAAATCATCAATATCAATATACTGTACTTTAATTTCAATGTTTGCAAAGTGGGTATTTTCTTAATAGCTACGAGACATTATTATCATACCATTGTTATGCAAGCATTGCTAATATTTCTTTTTGCATTGAAAACTTAAAATATTTTGGCATGTTAAACAGTTATACTGCGGTCGAGTATCTTTTTAAAAGAGACTTCTTGTGTTTTTTTTTATTCTAGTGGACTAGTTGCCTAAAATACCGTTGTGATTTTACAAGAATATTTTATAAAAGGAAGAGAAGGAGAATTTCAGTACGAAGAGAGTCATACGTCTATACTATGCACCACAACAACACTTCTCACAAGCGTGATTTTATACATCTGTACTGGCTTTACGAAATGTAGAAATTGTACAGCCTTACTAAAGTGAAATAATTTTTCTTATGTATTTCTCAGGAGCAATAAATGCTTTCTGAAATTAATTATACTTTCGGACAATCTCTTTGCAGCTCCGTTTATGAATACATCCAAAAGAATGTTAAATAAAGCATTAGTTATATATACAGTTTGATAAAAAAAATTATGCAAAAGTCCAGGAAATGCATCGATCAATTGCTTCAAATTTTAAGTTGTATCAAACTTGGTCTTTTATTACCGGAACACATTTTTTAGCTTCATTTCCAATGTATATATATATATTGGAAATGAAGCTAAAATATATATATTGGAAATGAAGCTAAAAAAGTGTTCCGGTAATAAAAGACCAAGTTTGATACAACTTAAAATTTGAAGCAATTGATCGATGCTTTTCCTGGACTTTTGCATAATTTGCCCTGATGCCCTATCCATTTATACAAATCCTTGAAGCTTTCTTTCAGGGTTTGGTAGCATTTACCAATTGTACTAAGTAACGGGGTTTTAAAGCTGCAAAATCAATTTTGCGATGAAAAAGCAAAGTCAATTCAAAACAAATAGCCGGCGAGCAATTACATTTCTTTTCTGGAAAATAAAATTTCAGAATATTGCTGTAAACCTTGATGTGTTTATAATTATTTTTATTCTGTTAAAACTGTTGTTACATTATTTTTTGCATTTGAAAATATTCTAGCATAAACAACGTGACAAAATTGAATTATGTAAGAACTTCAAGTTTTAGTTTTTAGGCTTTTTGGCACCAGTTGAATTCGTTTGATTGATTTCTCTTAGAAATAAGCTATCAAGGATGAAAATAAAAAACACGTTCTCCATATTAACATAAGTAACACAGTTTGATAAAAAAATTGTACTTAAACATTTTGAGTATCCCCGTCAACATAAGCGAATAAATCCATTCAAATTTTAACAAACAGAAAAACGATAAAACTTCCTTTTGAAATAGAAAATGTGAAACTACATGTGCTTTATTAAAGCATTTTAGCTAAAGCGGTAATTTAGTGCAATTGTCTTGTCGAATGTGACTAAATCATTATTAAAAAAGCGTCATTTCTATAAAATGGATAATTTACAGATAAAATCATCATTTGTGAACAAAAACCTTTATGCATTATCTAGAATTTTGGTAACAGTGGGATGTCTATCCCTGGTGATAAACGATGGTAAGAGTATCTAAACTAAAATTTCAATTTTCAAGTAAATATAATTTCTAGAATTTATATATTTTGTATCTTGATTTAACAAAATACGATGCGCCATTGGATATTTGTTTGTTCGCTTGTTGCAAAACAGGCGTTATTTTCAAAAGAAAAAGAGTGGAAAGGTATGAGACGAGGTAACACAAATACTAGTTTTTATTTACATAAACTATGCAATTGGACAATTGTAAATGTGCATTTGTCAATATTTTTACCTTTCAAAAGTGTGTCCTTATAATGAGCACAAGGTCTAGGAATAGTTTTTGTATTAATCATAAAAACAATGTTTTTCGTTGATTCTTGTCTATACTCGTAAACACATTATTTCAAAGAGCGTGTGTCATCTTATTGGTTACGTGTTATAATCATTCTTCTAATAAATAAATTCATTTAGAAAAAATATGTTTTCAGATTTTTTCTGATTCTCGCTTTAGAAAACTATGGGATAAGTATGGGCGTTAAAAAAATTTTTATTTAAAAAAGTCAAAATTTGTTTTTAAACATTTTAAAAATTATATAAAAACCTTGATTTTTTTATTGATAAAACGTTTTAACGTTAATATCTTTATTTCCCAAGTTTTTGAAATTAAAGTAAATTTTTTGTTTTTATTTTAGGAAATTGTAAAAAGGTCGTTCGTTGTTTTCTGTCCTGAAGGGGTTTTAAAATTACAAATTATTGATATGTTTTTCCCCATGGTTTTTAAAAATTTCTTTTCCCCGGGGGAAATTTAAACAGTATCAAAATCCCTATAGGTTAAAATGGAATCGTTTTTCTGGTTTTAAACGTTCAAAGGATTTGTATGGGCTGTAAGAAGACAACTTTTTTTGTGGTTTAAGGTGTAACCAAAAAACAAGTAAAAAATTGGGAGCAGGCAGATTTTTTCATTGTAAAAATTAGTTTTGGTCAAGGTTTTGTTAGGGATTGACCTCTTAAAAATTATTCAAAAATAAAGTTTTTGTGTATTGTTGTGAATAACATGGATTAAAAATCTTTTCTGATCTAAAGAAATTTTTGTTGTTGTTTTTTTTGTTATTTTTTTTGTTGTTTTTTTTTTTTTGGGGAAACTTATTTTTCCCTTTTTACTACATGCACGTTTACTTTAATCTGTTTATGTTTTGGATAAACTATTTTTTTTGACTGTATTTTCATTCCTGTGGGAAAAAATAATTTTTGTAGGAAAAGAAGAAATGGTCGTTTTTTGAAAAAAAAATTGAAGTTGTTTTGAAAAATTTATGTCGCCCTGTGCGCATTTTTTTGGTTTATTTGTCCCAGACAGTGTCTTATAAATGGCAGAAAATGTAAATGCCAAAAAATTTGTTCAAGTTTTCTGAAGCAATGGGGGTTTTATAAAGGAAAATGTTTGGGGTTTTGTCCGACCCGGGCAAAAATGGTTTGGCATATTTTGTTCGCTCATTGGAGACAATAAAATTATCGAAGCGTTCACTTAAAATTACTGTGGTAATCAAATTCTTCTTTCTTAATTTAAAAAAAGTGAATAAAATTTGAAAGAAAAGGGAAAAAAAAATTTTCTATTCTCTAAATATTTTGTTGAAAAACCGTAAATTTTTAAAATATTTGTTTTTTGAAAGCGATAAATTAAAGAAAAACTGTTGTCCGTCAGTTTATTTCTTAAAAAAATTTATTCAAATTTTTAACCTTTAAAAAAGATAATTTAAAAAGGGTTATGAATTTTTTCATGATTTTGATCCCCAAAAAATATTCCGAAAAATTTGGGTTTGGGGACTTCGTGTAATGAAAACGAGGCCAAATTTAATGTTCAATAAGCTGGAGGCAACCCTCTCCCAGATCTCCTATGGGAATGCAACAATGGAAGTTCAACAAAGAGAAGTAATGAGTCAACTGTCACATCATCTGTTTCGTGGGTGGCTAAACAAGGACAAAATAAAAAGTGTTTCTGTAGGTCTTTACACTCAGAAAGTAATCAGTCCGTTGAAGTTAATTTGGATGTTTTGTGTAAGTTTAACATTTTGAAGCATCTTCGGATGTTTAGTTACACGTGCTTAATATATAGTGCGACGTTAAATCAATTGAAAAATATTGCCATTCGATATCTTCAATACACATACATTAGACCTTCAAAGCCCCAACCCCGTTCACAAATAACCCGATTTTTCGAGATCTAATTAAAGTATTTTGCGAAATCCAGAAAAACAATCCTAAACTGAATTTTTGGTTTCCATGGTAACTGCAGAATTTCGGACCTAGTAACCTTTACTGTTTGTTTTTGTTTTTGTTTTTTTTTTTGTGGGGGGGGGGGCATTTGAAATAGTAATGTTTCATTTAAAAGTTTAACTGATGTCATATATTTCAGTTCCACCAAAAGTACCAAACGTGTCAACAGATTCGGTCAATGTTGAAAGTACGATAAACAAAATTATAAACACGTCACTTGTTATTCATTGCAACAGCACAGGTAACCCGGAACCAAATTTTATTTGGTTGCTGCCAGACAAATCAATTTCAAAAGGTGATGCACTTATAATAAACCATATAGACATGTCAAATAAGGGGACTTACTATTGCAAAGCAGAAAACATGTTGAATCCTTCAAATGGCAATGTTGAAATTGGAAGAAGCGAAGTATCTATTGATGTCCATTTATTGAGTATGTTACTTTCTTTTATCATTAAGCAATCGGTTAAAATTTCGATTTAGTTATAATTTTCATTTCGATAAAATTGTAATTCCATTATTTTGCACTTGATACAAGCATTTATTTACTTCGTTATTAAATGAATTTATTTTTTAATTTCCGAAATCACCAAAAAAGATTAAGAAATTGTAAAAGATTCGATCTTGTTTCGAATTCAAAAAGATTTGAGTTTTAAACCCCAGAAACCCGAAGGGTTTTTAGTAAAACAAAACAAAAATAGAATGTTTTTCGAATGTTACAAAGTATTAAAAAACTGCCGGTTACAATGCTGAAATCGGGGATAGCCCCAAAGGAAAAGCAAAAAAAAGGTGTTAATAATTTACTTATCAAAAAAATTTTTATTTTTAAGTTTTTTTAATTTCAATAACTTTTTATAAAAAAAATTTTTCATTTTTTTTTTATTTAGAAATTCAAAATTTTAAAGTGTGAAAATAATAATCCTAGTAGATAAGAGTTTTGTTACAATGATCAATGTCATTATTCCTAGATCCGCCCAGAATACCAGTTATTCAGTTTGAAGTGAACAGACAAGACAATGCTAAATGTATTTCTGAGAAAACAGAATTAAGCGCAATGGAATATACAGACTTTTCAATGATGTGTGATTCCGAAGCAAAGCCAAATGCTTCCTACTCATGGTACGGTCCAATAACAGCAACATCGAAATATCTTTTAACTCATAATATTACCAGAGACAAGAAGGGTAACTATTCTTGTTATGCTTTTAATACAATGGAAAGAACTTTTGGTGGTATCAAGAGGGGTGAAAGCCATAAAAGTGTTCGTTTGGATGTTCTTTGTGAGTTCTTACACTTTGTATATGTATCTATAATATATAAACATGATTAAACATACGCAGTTATATAAATTGATTTTTACTTATATATACACCTACATACGAGGTTACGCCAATTTCATTTTATATTTTTTAACATATGTTAATTAAAATAAAAAAGTTATCACATTCCAACATTTTCATTGTGCTAAGAATAATTTTATTCCTGCCTTGGCCTTTACGAAAATGAAGTATTTGATATGCAGTATCATACAATTAATGTTCTTTACTGTTCAGACTGTGTTGTATCTTAAACCTAGATCCTCCAGCAATCGGCCGACTTGCGGATATTTCTGCTGTTGAAGATTCAACTTTAAATGTATCTTGTCCTGTTACTCCCGGGAACCCAGCCGCCACTAATGTCTCGTGGACTACAAATGAAAACAAAATAATTTCGACGTCAAAAGAATTGTATATACACCAAATTAAAAGAAAAGATGATGGATTTTACAAATGTTTAGCAGTTAACAAAATGAATCCAAGTTGTGAGAATGAAACTGAAGGAGAAGTCAGTAGAAGCTTTCATCTAAATGTCGTTTGTATGATGTTAACATTTTTCCTAAAAAAGACGAGAATCTGAATTTAAATAATAATAATTCATTTTTCAATATTCATTTCAATTTGTATACTTGAGAAATGTATGTTAATGTCAAAGTGACGAGGGAACTTTTCATCCGTATATAAACATATTTGATTAAATTGCACACATATTTATAATAAATATCACTCAGTGCCAATTTTTACCTGCATCAGATCATTGATTTTTAAACAATATAACATGAATCAATTAATAATCTGAACAGACCTTTGCAACTGTGATTTTGTTTACATTACCTTTATTGTGTTTTAGGCAACTAGAGAATCATTTAGTTCTTATTGAAGAAACCTGTTTTTATGCTTGTAATTTAATTTAGGATTGCTTTCAGATAAAACAACAGTAACGAGTTTGTATGTAAAAGGCAAACATGGTTTAGATCCAGTAACTCTGCGTGAAAACGATTCGCTAGAATTAGTCTGCCAAACCGAAAGTAATCCTAAATCATCGATAACAATATATTTCAAAGACGTTATCCTTATCTCTCAATCTAATGTTAATACACTGACATATTCAAAAGCTACGGCCTCGTGTTCTAATGATGGCATATATACTTGTGTCGGGAGAAACATTCATAATGAAAAGGATCCATCACGAAATCACCTGACTTTACATATATTATGTAAGCAAATTGTTCAGTTTGTACATAAGTTGTTGTTGTTGTTGTTGTGGTTCATTACTAAGAGGATATTTTTTCATTTGAGTGAAATATGGAAAATATTTTCACGAAACATGATAAAATGCAACATATTTTCACGACCCTGGACGGCGAGTGAAAATATGTGGCATTTAATCATGTTGAGTGAAAATATATACCATATTTCACGAAAAATAACCTTTTTATTTAATTACGTTATCAAAGAAAATGATTACGAACATCCTTGCTTGCTACGCAGCTGCAATTGTACAGTGCGCAGTAAGATAATTATTGTCTTGTTTTGCACGCGAAATTTAGCGCTAAATTGTGACGTCACGTAAACAACTCTTTAAACGTCTGTACAGCGTTTATAACTGAATTAAAGATATTGGTGTTCGGATTTATTATCTTAGTTAGACTATTTTCTATCATTCTAGATAGTTTTCAAAACAAAATTCAACAAACAGTTGTTTTATATTTATCAGATTTTCAAACAAAATGGCGAAAGAAGTCCCTTAAAATAAATATGAGTTTTGACTCCGCCCACTTTCATATTTATATCTCATTTTTATTAAAAAAAAATTAAATAAATTTGACTGATATAGCACCATATTTCATGGGTGAAATTAAATAAAAATCGTTATTTTACATGTAAATTTTTTACCAGAGCTTAATCGCTTATTATATACTGATATACTGAGGTAATGTTAGTCATGTTCGTAGATTCTAAGGTAATCAAAATTGGTATAAGTTAGATATAAGCTTGATCACTTAATGTGAAATATTTTGCTAAACAATCCAGCTAGGATAACATTCGTATAACAGTTTGTATAATAACATTTCATACTGAAGACAGACCTAACGCCATTATCATATTAACTATTTAAGGTTCTCCCCGTCCATCTCCGGCTGTGGATTTACAAGAACATATATTTACATCAGAAAGGAAAACAGTGGTTCTTACCTTTGTTGCATTAGCTCATCCAGCTCCTACAAAAGCGGGCTTCAAGTGGTTGAAAGAACAACAAAAATCTATCTGGATATATTTACAAGAAAGTGATCGCTTTCATATCGTAACATCGGGTTTACAGACCAATCTTACAATTTCCAACGTCTCAGAGAAAGATTTAGGAAATTACCGCCTTACTATAGAAAATTCCATTGGCATATATGATCAGTCGTTTCATGTTTTAAATGAAGGTAAATTATTTATTTTCAGTCTTCAACTAGTTAAAGTCAGAAAATGACGCTGAAATTTAAATAAGATTTGTAGGCAAATAAAATTCAAAACATAGTTATGCTCAGAGTGCTAATTCAAATAATTGAGCTGAGTAGACAAAGACATATCTGATAAACAATGTTATTTAATCGTTCGATATGCATATGTTAGGGCCTGTTGTAACGGAACTGCATTATCAATTGGTGGGTCATTAAACCTTAATGAATCTAACATAAAATATATTAGACGTAAAATACAGGCGATAGATAAGTTAATAGTAAAAAACATGATATTCCTATCTATCGAAATAATGAGTCTCTATATTTTCAATTTGACAGTGTTGTATAACTTCCTTTTGACTGTTTTAATGTCACATCAGCTTCGTTTGTGTAGTGTGATGGTTTTGAAATTCATCATGTACATTCACTAAGTGCTGTGAAAAACAAAGTCAACAAGAAAATGAGGTATTCAATGGACGCATCACCCAACACAGGACCAGCTGTTGTCACTACACTTATGTTGTCTTTGTATCATTTTAGTTCTTTCAATTGCACCATTTTATGGTTTGTTTCAACATTGTGCTATTTTGGCTGATTCATTTTCTTTTCAGTACCACCGGCAAAACCGACACATTTTGTAATCATAGATGATAGTCTCACAAACTCAAGTGCAACCCTGAGTTGGAAACCTTTTAAAGGATATGACAAAGAGCAAATATTTATTTTACAGTACAAAAAAGAAACTTTTCAACAGTTTACGACTATCAACATAACTGATAATGGTGGTTTAGAAATGAATCATACAATTATGAATTTGTTAAGCGGTACACGGTACCTCGTGCAAATTTCAGTTGCCAACGGCTTCGGAAGATCAGACAACGTTACCTTAAGATTTCAGACAAAATGTATGGAAAACCTATTGTCTTAATAATCTAAGCAACGTATTTATGATAATGTTTCAATGCGCTTTATTTGATGACTTTTTTATTAATATGATTTATTCTAAGCATTTAGGAAAACCATATATGATCCAATTTCTTTCAAAGTTTTCTCGTTATGTTATTTTGGATAATACAAAATAGTTTTATTTAAATCAGGATCTTTTTTTAAAGAAAATTGCTAGATTGTAGAAATTTGAATATATTCACTACAATTCAGCAAAAAATACTATTAGAAAGCTCTAGCTATACTTTTCATTAAGTATATTTTTCGTACTTTGTGCCTTTATTTTTACTAATTATGCATTGCATTTGTTTATAAATTCCATTTAGATTCATATATTAATTAACCTAAACTACATTGCTAATTTGGTAAACAAATATCATTTAAGCCAAACCAGCTTCTTTTGAAGAATTGATAGTCATTGAGCAGAGTGTAACGGAAACATCACTTACTGTACAATGGAAGCCAGGAAATGATGGGGGTGACAAACAATTATTTGAAATAAATTATAAAAAAACAGATAGTGAGGAGTGGACACTTTTGTTGACTGATGATATGGAGACAAGTGATTATATGATAAGGCAATATATTGGCGGGCTTGAGAGAGGTTCAACATATCAATTGTATTTGATGGCAACCAACACTTATGGAAATTCGGACAAATCTGAAATAATTGAGTTTCAAACGAAACGTGAGTGAATAAATTTGGTTCTGGTTTATTCCAAAAGTGTTAAATCAAGTATTATCAATTAAATGCGTTCTTTATAATCAATGACTCAGCTGGTGAAGGAGAATAAATGTCAAATATTTTCTATTACATCAAATGCTACATGTTTTTCTATAGAGCTACAACAAATTAATGTATTTTAATCATATGTTGTAGGATCTAATTCATGTCAATGTAAAGTTACACAGTCATTTATCATTTGGATTCTCGCTGGCCTTCTTGCAGCAATTACATTGGCTGTTATTTCAGTTACTTCTACAATTTGCTTAAGACGAAAATACTTTTGTCGGAGGTAAGAAATAGAAGACACTATTTTATTACATGCTTTTCGGTGGTTTATAGAAATATATCAGTGATATAAAACTGGTAATTTCACTGTTTGAAACAGTGAAATTACCACTTTGATAATTTCACTGTTTTGAATTTAAGCCCCTTACGTTGTTTCAGTGAAATACCAGCGTGCACAGTACTATGACGTCACGTTGTATTATTATTTGGCGCGCTTTTCATTCAGTATTAGGTTAAATGTCTTTTTAAAACGTTTCTTTTCATATAATAAAAAGAAAATTTGTTTAGTTTAGTGTAAGATCGAAATATATTTCACCTTGTGAACACCAAAAGTTCATATTTCACTCGTGGCTGCGCCACTCGTGAAATATACCTTTTGGTGCTCACTCGGTGAAATATATTCCGATCTTACACTGAACTAAACAAATATCCTCTATATAAACTTATTTAAAAGAATACAGCCACTACGTTTAGTACACAAGTTTTCTATAATTGGTTTAGTCAATCAGTAATGAGTTATGAAATGTGTTTATTTATTTCTAATTTATTCCTGTTATCATCGAAAACTTTTCCATGTATTCAGTTTACTTTGATTACCATAGCTTCACTACTCAATAAAAAACAAATGAGTATTATTTCTTTTCATCGCTTTCATGAAAAAGATTAGCAGATGAGGATAGTATCACTTCAAAGCAGGACCGCATGAAAGGTATGTGAACAATTACCTAGATAACTGCTTTACGGAGTTGTTGTTATTGTCGTGTTTCCACGTTTGTTTTATTTTATTTTTTACAATTTACCATCCAAAAATAAATGCATTGGTTCTTCATCTTATTTTTTCAACCCTTATACATGTATAATATATATATTTAATGATTCACGCTTAAATTTATCTTAAAATGTTTGTTATAATATATGTGTAATAATTCATAATCTATAACTTTATCAGCAAACAGTTCAAAGGAAATATATGAGGAAATTAAACAGGAGACAGGTGAGACGATTGATTACAGAGTCTATGTAAAAAGCTATTTCTAATGTACATATTCATTCCACTTGTACAAATATACATACAAAATAAACATGCCTTCATAATGAAAAAACACATTATACAATTATTCTAATTACGCGTACATAATCATTTATGTAAAAGATTTGACTTAATAACAGTTTTGAACTTATTTGAAGCACATATTGCGTGTTTAGATTACTTTATGATTTAAATGAATTTTATAATACATGAATGTATTTTAAACGGCGAGTATAAATATTATACAGGTATACGTATTTACAAAACATTTTATGAAAGATATGCAGTGATATACAATACTATTTATAATACGAATGCTATTAACTTAGCTTGTCTTATTTTAAAGGTACAGAAATGGTCAATTTACGACAGAAATATGAAAGACTTGACACACCAGAAAAAGGTGAGTGTACTCGTAGATGAGGATATGATTGAAATTCTCTTCATCTCTGAAAGTTATAGGCAACAATAAACATACAACATATTACACAAAGCTTAACGCTTGACAAACGCCAAGTAATGATAAAGACTTGAAAATTGATTTATAATAAAGTATGAAATTGTGATAGTTTTCATAATGTATAACTAATTGCCAAGCCCTTCTACTGAGTTGTATTGTTCTTTTAAGATCCATTCATTGCCTTGCAAGATTACTGAATACCAAAAAGTAGTGATAAAGGAAGTTATTAACTGGATAGCATTTATTACCGCCCATAAACTTATAAAGGATTTTCCCGATTATCTTCGTTTTTATTGAACACTTTCTTAACCCATTACTTCATGAGCATTTTGTGAAAAATGGCTGTTTTCATTGAAAAGTCTCCCGTTACAAGTTCAAATTGCTATAATACTATAAAAACTGCTTCAACACTAATCAAACTTGGCACAAATGTTGACTGGACCATTGCCCTTGCAACAACATGCTCAGGCTTAAATTTTCTGTTACCATGGCAACGAGGGGACATCTCAAAATTGCCAAAAATCACTATTTTGCGTTGATTTTTTCCATCAAAATTGATTTCAAAGTGCTGCAACTTCTCAATGGATTGAGATAGAGTCAAATGCTTTTCAGCGTTGGTTACACGTTACCTTATGATCAATCTGGGGTCATTTACAGCCTCTCACAAGTCCAAAATTTTCTTGGCGATGAGGGGGACTCCGCCCCCCTTCAAACCCCCCAAACAGAAGGGGGCACATCCCCCTTCTGGCAACCCCCTGATGTATCTTTTGGCTGGGGGGGGCTGCGCCGAAAAGAGGTCACTTTTTTAACAACATTTCTCAAACAAAAACAAGTGTTTGGGGCCTCAATAAGGCATTTTTTCATCATTTGAGACAACAAAAAGGGGGGGTGAAAAAGGCGTTAAAAGGCGTGTATATGAAGTAATGGGTTAAAAAAAAAACAAAAAAAAACATTTTATTTAAATCTTCATGCAAATAAAAATCAAAGACAATTTAAATTATAAGTATACAAATGATCGCATTTTGGATTAGTTTCTTCGTTGCAAGTCATTATCAATTTCTAATTCGACTCATATCAAGTTGTCTTCTGAGGGAAAGTATCGTACACGGTTTTAATGTTTCTGTTTTCTGAAAATTGATTCTGCATAGTTTAACTGATTCATAATTAGTAGAAATAGGATGGAGGAGAGAGAAAGAAGTCCTGAAATGATTTTTTTTCTTTGGTGCCAATTAGGTGATTCCTCCAACAGCAAATTGGTAATATATGAAGACATCCATATTCCGACAGAAAGTAAGTAATAACGTTAACATATCGTTTACAGATATTTAAGATATTTTGAAAACAGTTTTTTTGCATATCACACAGGGCATTCTATTATTTACACCGGTGCAAGGAAAACCTGTATAACATTCCCGTGTAAGACAAGTTGCTGTTTTATATTACATTATTCCCGCGCGTCTTTTATGAATGAAGTGTTTTCTAAGGATGACGTCATTCAGTGTTATGAATGAAGTTGTATATTTTAAATGCTGCAGCTAGCAAACAGTACTTTTTTCGTATTTCGTTACGAAATATGATTGATATGAAATATGTGAGAAAAAAGAACCAAATACCATCATTCGTCGCTGGCAAGCAAGATATTTCAGTCTGTACCGAGAGTCATTGTAAGACTCTTAAAATATCAAGAACTGCCGAGTCAATTTGTAGCCTATAAGGTTGTATGATAATTCAAAATCAATCAACAGTTATGACAATAACATATGTCTTATCTCATCTTTTTTAATTTTAGTAGGAGGAGAAAAAGAAAACAAAATGAGGGCGGTTGATGGATATGAAGGTAACAGCCATGAAATGCTCATACAAACAATCAGATGTGTTTATTTTCATACGCGCAAAACAAATGTTTTGGCTTATTAATCTATTATTATTAGGCGAACTATAACAATTTTTAAATGTTAATTTGAAGTATGTAATAGAAGGTCTGGCAAACGAATTACTGACGGAATTTTCGTTAATATTTTTGTAAATTTTACTTAAGATTTGATTGCACCAAGCATACCTAGTTGATTGGTATGGTATTTAATTTGCATGGTTTTAAATTACAGTTCCAGCAGCCTTCTCAGATAAAAATAAACTAATTAGAAAAAAAGAAGACGGTAAGTAGAACATTCATTACTAACATTAAGTTATTAAGATGCTCAGTTTTTAAAATTCAATGTTAAACATAATATAAGTGTGAAATGTTGCAAATGAATTTATTTATTTACTTTCTTATTTATTTATTTATTTATTCATTCATTTATGTGTTAATTACATAATTATGTAGATTAAATTGGATAAACAAACTCGTACAGTATGCTTTAAACTGAACTATACATTGATATGATGTTTATCTCTAACATGATATAAATAACAATATTTTACTGGTTTCAGACGACAAGTCAACAGGGAAAAACACCAATTTTACAGAGTATGTGAATCTCGAGTTATGAGCATCTGAGTTAACGACCACACAAAGACAACATTAATAAAATGTTACTTAACATATTAACAAAAAAGTACTAAATGAACACGCAATTGAACATTAAAAGTACATGTTAGTATCAGTTTGCCAAGGCAGTTTTGTCCGCAATGTCATTTTGTATGTTTTATTTATATGTTTAAGTCTATTTTTTTCTTTCTTTTTTTCCTTTTTTGTTAGTTATGAATTCTTTCCTTCGAATTAAAATACTAAGCTGACTTTTTTTGTATCTTCTTTTTATGTCTTCCAGATTCCTACACAGTTCTGTGTAATAACCTTAACTTAATAAATTTGCATATCGGGTAATGGTGTTTTGTAAGACCTAACAAGCAACTTTCTACTAATAAATAGACATTAAGCCACCGCAGCAAATAGTTTAAAATTACGGTTGCTTTAAACAATGTATTACAATAGCAATTTCTCGTAATTTGTTATTTCATTGATATATATGTATCGACAAAGCTTTGTAACGAAATACGAAAGTCGCTATTTGGTTTAAAATATGGCATGTATTTAGGTAAAGTAAACTTCATTGCATAAAGCATTTTATGTGACTTTATCATATAACTTTACCACGTGATTAACGTAACATTATTGTAGATCAAATTATTGACATACTTGTATTGACGCAACTAAGATAACAATTGTCAATTCGTACTGAATCTAAAACGACTAATCTATGTTTATGTTATCATGACGTACAATAAAGGTTTTCCTCTTTCCTCTCAATGTATTGAGAAAAAAAGTATTTTTTCCTTAGACGTAGAATGCGGGTAGGAGAAAAGTCGGTTGTATTACCGAAACTCATTTAAAAAGTTTAAGTTAAAAATTGAAACTTAAGTTTATGTTCCTTATTGCAAGTGGTGAAACTTACATGTCAGAATGTACGGCGGGACGTTCCAAAGAAATCTTCAATAAAGGTTTAAGGAAGTAAAGTTATATTTATTGAATAGCAAATAATACATTTTTTATTTCTTCATAATAGTCAGGGCCTTTGAGATAATTACCCTTATAAGATAAAAATAATTCCAGTTCTCAAATATTTTAACTAATTCACTATTCGGTCGTTTAAAACACTTCTTTCGGAGGTAAACTTAATGGTTGTGATTCTTCTAACTTCCTTTGTCTTATAATATATATGTCTATAATTAGTATTAATCCCATTTAGTATCCACAGTTGTGCACGATTAGGTCCCGAAATATATCTAGGACTATTTGGCAGGATATATTGCCGTTCATTTTTAGTAAAAAGAGAATGAGCCCGATTAATAAATCTGCATGAAGAGTAAAGAACTCATCTTGAGTAGTATAATTTAATACTGCCATAACGCCATAAACTTACAGTATGTCAAGTTTGAAAGTATGGGTAATTTAGAGCTATTAAGCCGGAAAGCATGGCAATTTAGTCGTATTTTGTCAGATTCATTGATTTCATATCTTAGTACGAGGTATAGTCAAAAAGTTTCCGGACTGGTCTGTTTAAAAAGATTATTAACGTCCGATTGTCATGAAATTTACCATGAAGGTATCTTTAACTAATTTGAGTAGCAACATGTATGGAAAAAATCAATTTAGTAAATATTTGGAAATTATTTTTCACATGAAACACGCCCGCAACCCGTGTACGGAGCATTTCAGAATTAATTTGATTTTTCTAGAAGTGAATAATACTCTTTCATGAATGTCTCAAAATACTGGCGCCAGAACGTCGTGATTTTTATACGTGACGTCAGCTGATCGTTACTAGTAAACAACTGTAAAAATTCAGCGTGATCGGATGACGTATCGCCATTTTGTGCACGATTATTCAAGCCACGTGAAAATTTCTATACGAAAAAATGTCAACCTCAGAAAAACGTACGGAGCAGCGGGCAGTAATAATTCTGTGCGATGTCTGGAATGACTCCGACTGATACCTGGAAGTTTTTGAATCAGACGGAGGGTGTTCATAATTGTTCTAAGACACTTGTGTTTGACTGGCACAAGCGTTTTAGGGAAGGTCAGACGGAAATTACCGATAATGCACGAAGCGGAAGACCGTGTAACGATCAGCGCTCAATCCAAGATGTGAAGGACCATATCGCCAAAGATGGGAGAAAGTCGATTGATGATATCGCAGACACCGTCGGGCTTTGTGATGGAACTGTACATAAGATAGTGACGAAGGATTTAAACATGAATAAGGTATGCGCCCGCTGGGTACCTGGGTTACTTACAGATGAAAACAAAGCAACCCGTGTAGACGCTTCCCGAGAATGTTTACGGCGATATGATAGAGACGGCGAACGATTCCTAAGGCACATTATCACTACGGATGAGACGTGGGTGAACTTTTACGACCAGGAGAGTAGACAAGAGTCGATGTTGTGGAAGCTAAATTCATCACCTTCTCCCCCCCCCCCCCCTCAAGAAGGCGAAAACCTGCAAGTCGGCGAAGAAAGTCATGTATATTTTCTTCATGGATAGCCAGGGATTTGAGGGGTCGGAGGTTAGATAAGAAGATGAGATCAAATATGCTGTGAGGTCCGCAATAAGAAGTTAAACTCCAGAGTGGTATGCAGACATTTACCGGAAGTGGGTACAGCGGCACAGGTAGTGTATTGAACACAATGGAGACTATTCTGAAAAAGCACGAACGTGACGGTAAGTTGTTTCTGGAATATGAACGTCACCTGAACGTCGTTAGCGTCGTCGACGTCGCCGAAGTGCTCCGTACGTGCCATAGTGTGAAACTTTAACGGGGTGTTAAATGTGTGTAACATTTATGAAAATCATTGACTCTTATATATTCATGCAGCGATTTCTCTAAATTTTAATGTGATATATGTCATTATTAAAACATACACAAAATAACAAAGTTATCGTAAGAGTCCGGGAACTTTTTGACTATACCTCGTATATTGTATTGATTTCATCCACACATATTCTATCGGCCGGCATTAGGCCTAAGGAGATGAAATAACTAGAATACATGTAGTTTTATAAGGTCATTAACACTTGGTCATTATTCTGAAAACACAGCCTAAAGTGTGACTCTGGTCAGAATATCTTCCTAAAATGTCATAGTTTTAAAAGTCGGTGTAGTTAAAAGTGTAAAAACATTATATGTGGTGTAAATTTTAAGGGAATGCAAATGACTGACCTTTCAGTAAAATACACACAACTCTATTAAACAATAAAATCTGTGGGACCAGAACAGTTGTTAAACAAGACGATTTTTTATGCAACTTTAAGAAAAAATGATTGGTGGATAATAGCTTATAAAAAAATTTTTCTCGAAAAACCATCGTGAACTTATATACCAGAAAGTCAATCTTTGACTGAAATAATGCACGAAGGGACACCTAAAATTTACTCAAATGATAAAGCTGTACAATCGACATATGACATATACAGATTCGGCTTGTCTTAAATCCCCTGTTATAGATTCAATCGCTCGGTTCCTTTCCGTAACTTTTTAGTTCACTACCCGTCTTTTTTGTGACACGTAGTGACTTTCGATAACATTTTTGTTTTCTTCTTTTGCTTTATGATTTACAACTTCTTCTGATTCTATAACCTTTTGCCCTCAGCAGGAACCATAGAAAAGTAAATGTATATTATTCAAGTCATGAATTGGCAATTGAGCCTCAAAATAGTTTATATATACTTAGTTCGAATCCACACTTGTGACACAATGACTATTCGGCAATGGCTTCCTTTAAAATAAAAGAACTTGTTCCTTTTATTTGAAAGAATAAAGAAAATATTATCTTTTCTTAAGTATCGCTCAAATTTAGTTTTGTTATAAAAGTATGAGCACGCTATCGCCATCCATTGTACATCAATTAATACTAAACCGATAATGAATTGTGCATATGTGCAATCTTACGCAAATATTTGATTATGAAATATTTATAAATTGTTATTTATTTCTAAGTGAGATCACATATATTTTATTTCTCCTCTTTGAAAAATTTATGTTTATTCTTTTTTTATTTTCTGTAATGTTAACAAACAAAAATACATGTATATGAAGAAACTATAAAAATGACATAAGAAGGTATCTAACGGTATAGCATGATGAAAAGTTTATTAATGAAATGTTGAACGTGGTATTGATCTTTTGTAAAGAAGCTATTCAACAAGGGTTACTCAGGGTTACTCAGGTATGTGCTCCTGAATTCTTAGAGAGCTCTTTAGAAACAGTGTCCGAGTCACATAAATAACCAAGTGTAAATCATATGAAAAGATGAAAACTCTTGACCTTCATTAGCTTGATAGTAGTTCCCAGCTGTCATTAAATTTATGTTTAAAAAAACATATTCCTACTTAAATGTTCCTTTTTAGCAATAAATCTTAGAGTATTTTTGTCTCAACGATAAGTATGCATTTTCTTACAAAAGGTGATTTTTGTATCTCATGTAATACAATGGTTTAATTTCAAACTGCCCCTTATCTGATCTATTTTAAACATGTTATAAAAGATTGCAAGATCACTTAATGTGACGGTTTGGTGGTTATTTATGATAGGTGTTAAGCAGGTAATTTTTACAAAACATACATGAAGTGAAATAAGCGCATTTAAATAATTTACCGGTAATGTGAAACTAAAACTCTACAAAAGACGACCTTGGCAAAGAGACAAACAGACATTATTTATTACTACGAACGAAAGCTTTGATTTCAACCGACTTTGTTCTTTCATAACGCAAAGTAATAAACAATAATTAAATATTTCTCAACATTATCTAAAATTAACTCGATTAAAAAATGTGTTTCTTATTTGAGATATTTTATTATATAAGTTGATCACGTTTCATGTTTTAATCATCAATTATATTCACAGTTATTCCCTGTTCTGTAACAAAATGGAATGACATTAGATCAGCATGTTATATATATATAGCTTTCAAAATGGCCTTTAATTCATTTGCATTCTAGACTAAAATATCGTACTACCAATAAAAGGAAACTTTTCTTTTCCATGAGTTCTGTTATAACGATAATGCCGACAAATAAATTGGCAATTTTTAAAAATGCAGACGAATTTAAAGGTAAAATAATCTTAAACTAGAAATGTGTCGTCAGGCCACGGATGCCCCCGCATGCAGCCAAAATTTCAGATGTTATAATATTTAGTTCCAAATTTGTTTGCACAAACTATTTTTTGCATTTAAAGTTCAAAGCCCTTAAAACTATTCAATGTTAACATAAACCAGGCGCTGAAACTATTCATTGTTAACCTTTTGTTAATTGCATATTGCATATTTGTAGCAAAAATAATGACTATATACACTTTCACAAAAGTATGAGTGCTGAAACTGAAAATTCAATTTTTTCCAACATTCAAGATAGATAACTTTGTCCAAAATCAATGAACCATAGCCAAAATCAAACTTGAACTGCTTATACCTTAACTGTATCTATATGTCAAATTAGTGTTGAATGTGTACAACCATTGGGAAGATAATGAACGAAAACGAAACATTTCTGATTTATTTTTCAAAGTTCACTCTGCCAGCTATCATCAAACCATTACCAAATTCGATCTTGACCAGTGTATTCTTATGACATGTCCATATTTTAAATCTGAGTTGAATATGTTCAACTGTTAGGGAGATAATGAACGCAAACTGAAAATTTCCCTTTATTTGAAAGTAAAAGGGGCATAACTCTGCCAAAAATCATCGAACCATGACCAAATTTGAACTTAACTTGCACATTCCTTTGACGTATCCATATGTCGAATTTGAGTTGAACGTGTACATTTGTTGGGGAAATAATGAGCGGAAACTGAAATTTTCATATTATTTTTGAAAGTGAAATGCTAAAAATCATCGAACCATGACCAAATTCAACCTGTGCATTCCTTTGACGTATCCATATGTCAAATTTGAGTTGAATATGTACAACTATTGGGGAGATAATGAACGGAAATGGAAAATGTCATATTATTTTCAAAGTGAAAGGGGCATTACTCTGCCAAAAAGCATCGAACTATGACCAAATTCGAACTTGACCTGCGCAATCCTTTGACAAAGCCATATGTCAAATTTGAGTTGAATATGAAATACCGTTGGGGAGACAATGAATGGGAACTGAAAATTTTAAATTATTTTCAAATTGAAAGGGGCATAACTCTGCCAAAAATTATCAAACTGTTACAAAATTCAAACTTAACGTGCGCATTCCTTTGATGTATCAATATGTCAAATATGAGTTGAATGTGTTCAATTGTTGGGGAGATAATGAACAGAAATTGATTTTTCTTTCAAGGGGCAAAACTCTACCAAAAATCATCGGACCATGACCAAATTAGAACTAGACCTGTCTTTTCTCATGATCTATCAATATGTGAAATTTGAGTTGAATGTGTGCAACAGTTACTAATGATGATTGAGACCACGTTACCCATGCGTGGAGACAACCAACTGCATATGTAATGTTGAAAATATAGTTAATGGAACAATAGATTTGTAAAAGCAAGCTTATTTATTTACTGTGTTTATCTGGTAAGAAATGCACAGAACAATCTATTTACAGTTATAAAATACGACGAAGAACTTGGTGGAAGAGGACTGCAATTAAAATAATGTTATCATACACGTAACTTGATAAAATCGTTACCTATTTCGATGCTATTTCAACATTAAACGTTTATTTCTGTACAAATTTGTACCAAGACAGAAATACATCGATAAATGTTTTTAATTAATCTAAATACTCAATAAAATTTAATGGCTGTAGCATAATAAAGAGCTATCATATGTTTTATCCATAAACATGTTTTAATTTATTCATTTATCTATCTTTGTAACAGACACAAACTGTGGGTCAATTGAACAATAAATATATTTTGCATAATAAAGTATTTTTATCAGTCGTAACCATTTGTTTTAAACTAAAGCCTTGTTGATAAAGACATGAACAAATGCGCATTGGCATAGACGTAACCTAGATAACAAGTTTGATAACAGTACTGAAACCGAAAAAAAAGACAAAAAATGACGACATCATCACAAGACTTTTTGTTTGTAGTTTGTTTTTTTTCAAAATGAAAATACTTTTATTTGTGTTATTTTCCTTGAAGTGTCCGTATTTGTTTAAAAAACATTGAAGATGAAAGTAATATTTCTTATGTCGGACTTTTCACGAGAAGGAAGTTTATTCAGTGAAGAGGAAAGGACGAAAAACTCAATTGTCAAAATATAGCACAAGCATATGTGAAATAAAACGTTTGCAATGTGAAAGTAACAGGAGTCATATTAAAAATAAAATATAAGCTACAGACGAAAAGATATAAGATAGATAAGTTTCAAACAAAAACGTTGGAGAACTTTACTTTGCTGAACTTTACTCTGCCTG